GGCTGGGCAGGTGACACCACAGCCAGCGACCCCCCAGTGCGCATGTGCGCGGGCGAGCGGGCGGGGGCGCAGACAGGTGACGCTAAGGGTGGGGCTGGCAGTGCGCAGGCATCTTCGAGCAGGTAACGCGAGACTGGCTGACTGAAGCCTTGTGAGGTTGGCGTCCTGCCATCGCCACACGCACGGTAGGCGCCCCCTTCCGGGCGGGCCTAGTTTCTCCTCCCTGCCTAACGTCTCTGCGCACTCAGGAGGGCTTGGCCATAGGCAATGGGGCTCCTTTGCACGGACGAAACTTCAGATCGGAGGAGTGCTCTTAGCCTGAGCTCTCTCTCCAGCCCCCTTTTATTTTTTTTAATGTGTAGAGTGTCCTGTTGCATCTGTTAAGTGTACCCCATATGTGCAGTGCCCGTGGAGCCCAGGAGGCATCGGATCACCTGGAACCAAAGTTAAAAATGGTTGTAAGCTGCCGCGTGGGTTCTGAAAATTGAATCTGGGTCCTCTGTGAGAGTTGCAGGAGTCTAACCACTGCGCAGTCTCCTCAGACCCCATATGCCTAGCTTTTTAATGTAGGTTCTGGGAATCGAACTGATGTCCTTATGTTTGTAGAGCAAGCTCTCTTACTTACTGAGACATCTCCCCGGTTATGGGTTATTGTTGGTGTCGGAGTTTTTGTGTTTGAGGGTTGTTTCGGGTTCCACTATATAATATAAATATTTAAAGGCTAGCATCCACATGAGACAACACAAAGTGTTATCACTTCAACTATTTTATAGATCCATCTATTTTATAGATCCATCTATCTTCCTGCAAATTTCCTAATGTCACTTTTCTTTACAGATGAGTAAGTTCCTTGTGAACATATATGCATCATATTGCACCTGTTGATGGACACCAATTACATTTCCTTGCTATTGTGAATAGAAGGGCGATAGGCACGATCTGAGTGTAAGTATATGGTAGGATATAGTTATCTGGATGTATATGCAGGAGCAATATAGTGAAGTCATTATTTTAGAAACTTCAGTTAAAGGAGGTTCCCAGAAAAAGTTGCACCCACATGTAAAATTCTAGGAAAGCAGATTAGTAAGTTTAACTATGGAAAGGTGAAATGCTGCAGGTCTGTAGCCAAATTATCTTGGCTTACTTTAGATGCCTAGCTAGCCATTTATATTGTCCACTATTATCTGGTAAATCCTTTTGGGGTGTATGAATGGATCTCTAGCTTCTACTAAGCCAAAAGATAAGACTATCGTCAGATAATATCAGAGGCCAATAGCAGGGGAATCTACACTTTGCTGTAACCCACCTAACTGAAGCTTCCACCAATTTATCTGAAAATTTTCTTTGGAACTGGGTTCAGTGGTTTTAAAATACTTGATTTCGGGGGCTGGAGAGATGGCTCAGAGGTTAAGAGTACTGACTGCTCTTCCAGAAGTCCTGAGTTCAATTCCCAACAACCACATGTTGGCTCACAACCATCCATTATGAGATCTGGTGTCCCCTTTCTGGTGTGCAGATATACACAGAAGCAGAATGTTGTATACATAATACATAAAATCTTTAAAATAAATAAATAACTTGGTTTCTCTTTCAGAGGACCTGAGCTTATTTCCTAGCACCCACATAAAAGGTCTCACAACCTTCTGTAATCCCATCTGCACTTAACGACACAGAGAAATAAAAATAGGAAACAAGATTGGCTGGAGAGAGAAAAAAAAGAAAATCCTGATTTTCTGTTTAACTTGTGTTTCTATAAAAACTCCATAAAACCACTACCATATTTGAATGTGGTGCTTGGTATAACCTAAATCTGTGTTCTCATGCCATTGACACTTGCATTTGGCTCTAGAACCAACTATTTATTCCATAAACTATTCCCTTTGAGATGAGAGCCAGTTTTTGTCTTGCTGTTTTGCATGCTTTTGGAGTCCCAACATGCATCCCAAAAAGACCTTGAACTAGCCACCTGCCTCTTCTTGTTAAGTGCTAAGATTAAAGGCATGCACCACCATGCCTGGGTTCATATTGGTGTCTTCCTCTGTTGTTTTCCTCCTCATTTTTCTGAGACAGAAACGCTTAGTGAATGAACCCAGAGCTCAGTTCCAGCTGACTATTAAGCCCTTAGGGATTCATTCACCTGCCTTTTAACCCCCAATGCTGGAGTTACACATGCTTACCACTGTGCCCAGCTTTTCTGTGTGTTGGTCAGGTTTGTGAAGTAAACACCGTACCCACTGAGCCATCTCTCCAGTCACATTTCAGATTTTTAGAGATTAAAAACTTTTTGATAATGTATTCGTGTGTGGATCTGTGTGTAGACATTTACATACAAGTGCACATGCCCTCAGAGTCCATATGAGGGTGTTAGATACCCTGGAGTTACAGGAAATTGTGAACTGCCAGATGTAGGTGCAAGGAATTCAGATTCTCTGCAAGAACAGTATATGGTCTTCATCACTGAGTCATCTCTTCAGCTTCTTTTTATTTCTGGCAATTAAAAATGATCAGTTGTCTGCATTTGTGCATGCAAGATGTCCATGGAGGTCAGGAGGGTATCAAATACAGGAGTTGGAATTGTAAGCTATCTGACTTCAATTCTAGAAACTAAGTTCAGATCCTCTGAAAGAGTTCCCATTTTTGGTTTTTAGAATCATGTCTTTGATCCATTTCAACTGCTTCATTTTGTTAGTTGCTCATTTTTTGATGAAGAAATGAATGCTTTATATTGGTGTGGATTTTGGCTTACTAGAGAAGGGTCCGGACCTCTAACTCCTTTGTTGGCTCACATGGTGACTGCTATGTGTCTCTGTAGAGAAGATGATTTCCTGTTTGTCCCTGCTTATATCCTGGTTCTGCCCAGCTATATATCACTTCCTGTCTGTCTGCACAGACATCCAGACCTCTATGGTTAGCTAGTGGCAAGTTTCTGTCCAGCCATGTCACTTCCTGTCTGGACAACCAGCCAATCAGTGTTTTAGTCATTAACCAATAAGAGAAATATATATACAGAAGAACATTCCCCACCATCTCCTCTTTTCTGTCTAAATAAAAAGGGTTTTAACTTTAACATAGTAAAATATATAACAAGAACTACAGTTAACAATATTTAGTCCATTAACATTTAGCAAAATTTAAAGAAAATATTCTCTCATCTATCTTTGTGAGTCTAAAGTCTTCTATGTAGCTTATCTCTAATCATAACTAAGGAAAACCATAACCATAACTATCTTTCTTCAACTCCATCAAAGACCACAGAAGAATAATATTTAGAACTCTAGAATTGACAGAGACATTTCATTGCCTGGTCAGCAACCCAAAGTTCCTCTATAACGTTGGAGCATCCATCTTCAGCCCATAGACCACTGTGTGTGTGGCAGACTTCTCAGTGAAGCAGGAAATCTTAAACTGTTTGCTTGCATTGGCAGTTTGTCAGTCATTTTTCTGTGTCCTGCAAAATGCCTGGCACTCTTCCACGAAGCAGGAACCCTTAAGACCTGTCCCATCTTGTTTTGGCATGTTCACCAGTCACTTTCCTGCTTTATAAAGCATACAGTCAGACAGTCCAGGCAAGAGCAGTTTATTGTACAAATGGCTAGTATTGCTATATCAAAAGCAAACTCCATAACAAGTTTCTTCCATGCCCATCTTCCTCTATGAAGTAATTGGTGTTGCTAGGAGCAGTTGTGTCTCATTGTCATGAAAAACTCTAAACCATTTTAAATGCCATATTCTCAAGGTCTTTGAAAGGTTTGAAGACTAAATCCATCTCAAATATATCTCTGTATATCTAGAAAACCTAAGTTTTTTACTATTAAAGGTGACTATAATCTGTATTATACATTTTTAAATAAGATACCACAAACACAATACCTAAACAAAATAAATATACATATAACAAAATTGACCTTAAATTTGTATCAATAAGCCAAAATCCATAACATTGTTAAGTATCCATTTCTATATCAATTTTTCTTCTGTAAATGACATCTTTACTCTTCTTCCTTTTATTTAATCTTGGAAATTATAAAAATATTCTGATACTGTGGCTGAAAAGGTGGCTCAGCAGAGGACAGATTTGGTTCCCAGCATACACATGGCTACTTAGCCATTTGTAACTAGTTTCAAGGGATGAGATGGCTGCTCCTGGCCTGAAAGGAATGCACACAGGCGGTATATAAACACTGATGCAGACAAAATTTTGTTTTAAAAATTTGAGTGTTTGCCTGCGTGTAGGTATGTGTATGTACCATGTACATGCTTGGTGCCCTTAGAAGACAAAAGGAAAGTTTTCAGATACCCTATAATTGGAGTTACAGATGGTTGTGAGCCATTGGGTGCTGGGAACTGAACCCTGATTCTCTGAAAGATTTAGTCCCCTTAACCACTCAGGCACTGTGTGTATCACTGTGAGTGATACCTTTTAAAACTTTATACCTATTATTTCTATCAGTTCTTTTTTTTTCAGGCTGGTTTTGAATTTACTGTGTGACCCAGGCTAGCATCAAACCTACAGCAATCCTTCTGCTTCAGCCTCCCAAATTATGGATTGCAGGTAGGTATGTACCATGCAGGGCACAAGGCATCAGTGGCTAACAGCATTTGGTTTGCATTTAGCAGTGGGAAATGAACCCAGTACCTCATGCATACAAGGAGCACTGTCACTGTAATGCACACAACCCCCTGACCCCGTTCTTTTCCAGAAAATAAATTTTATGTCATGCATGATCGAAGACATCGCAACATACACTGAACTTTTCCTCACCTCTGACAAACCACCAGGTTATTTCCCAGAGGCAACCAGTGTAGCCAATTCCATACAAATTCTCCCAGAAGTACTTTATATAGATACAAGTATAGTGTGTGTGTGTGTGTTTATATATATATATATATATATTTATTTTTATTTATTTATATACATAGTACATTACCACAAATTTCTCAAACACTCTGGAAAAAGCAAACTAAATAACATAAATGCCAAAATCTACAACAATCATTTCCATTCTGTATATTTTGCTATTATTCATGTTCTGAAGAAAAATAAATAGGCTGAGAAACAGCAGAAGTCTGTGAAGCTCTTCACTCTTCTTTCAGAGCATAGAGCACATCATCCTGGCTCACATTGAGCCTTACTCTAAGTAGTAGGTCATTCCTGCTGGGCTCCACCAGGAGGAGGCGACAAGAACCCAGATTTGAGCACACAGCCATGGTCTCCGACATGGTAGGGTAAGGCAGTCCCTCCATCCTGCACAGAGCCACATGTTGACTGTATATCTAAACATCAAAAGTAAAGCAAAGGTTAAGAGGAAAAATAATCCCGGGATTGTGTCTGATCATCTTTTCTAAAAACTGGGTTCCTGGGGCTGGGTGGGTGATGCTCTCTCACCTTTAGTTCACATACATGGGAGGCAAAGGCAGGCAGATTTTTGAGTTCCCCAACAACCAAGGCTACAAAATAAGACCCAGTTTCAAAACAATCAGATACTTGGTACTTTAGATACCAAAGGTCTCATCAGTAAATGCCCTTTCACCACTGCCAAGGAGTAGAAAACAAGCTGTAGAACAGGAGACAGCACATCTGAACCCTGCTTTTCTGTACTTTAACTATGTGACACTGGGCAAACTACTTCTCTTTCCTTTCTTCCTTCCTCTTACCCCCGCTTCCCTGTCTTTCCTAGTCTTTTTAAGACAAAGTCTTAGTCTGTGGCTCAAGGTGGTTTGGTAGTGCTAAGTTTACAGATGTGAGTCACCATGCGGCTACTTCATGTTTTAAAGCAAAGCTTCAGTTTACTTTATTGCAACAACTGAGCAATATTTGGAATAGAGAACTGCTAAAGGTTCCTTCTGGGTTTTGTTGGTGGTGGTTGTTTTTATTTTTTGTTTTTTGTTTTTTTTTCTGAGACAGGGTTTCTCTGTAGCTTTGGAGCCTGTCCTGGAACTCGCTCTGTAGACCAAGCTGGTGTCGAACATAAGAGATCTGTCTGCCTCTGCCTCCAGAGTGCTGGGATTAAAGGTGTGCACCACCACCTGGCTTATTTGCTGTGTTTAAATGGTCTCACATACTCCAGGCTGGTGTTAAACTGGGTATGTAGCCAAGAATGACCAAATTTAGGAACCTCCTTCCTCTACCTCAAAGTCCTGGGATAACAGGCATGTACCATCATGCCTGGTTAATGATGTACTGGAAAACAGAACTCAGATTTGTTTATTCAAGGCCAATACCTACCTTCTGAAGTATATTCTTAACCCCGTGCCACATATTTTAAGTGTTGGCTATTCAGACACTTCATAATCCCCACCTTTGGATATCTCTGGGCACCTACACTACTCTGGCAGCCCAGCCTGACCCCTCGAGGTTGGTGAGTGGCCACCTCCTCACCCCATCTCCACTGGCTAACCCCCCCCCCAACTTCCCTAGTGGCCCTACCAGGAGGCTAGACAATCAACAAGCTTGACAAGGTCAGGCCACATAACTTCTCCAAAGCCCTCCCCCACCCCCACCGTATGTTATGCCCAGTTCACTGCTGCTGCTCACCAGTGAGGTTTGTTGTGTAGTGTGACTTTGTGGTATTCCTTGGTTCCCGGCTGACAGTCGAGCTGTAAGACTATAATATACTAAGAACCCTGGACCCCTACATATCTAGAAGGATCAGGAAAAACAAAACAAAAACAAACAAAACCAACCAACCAACCAACAACAAAAACCAAACAGCACTCAACCAATTACCTGTTGAAATGTTGCTTCCTCTAGTCCAGATCGACGGAATTCTGCAATAATGGCTCTCAGGAAGCCCTGTTCCAGGAGGGAACAGTTTCTTAAAGGAAACCAAGAAATGTGAATTCTAAGAGGCTGCCTGCACCACTGGCCTCAAGGAGAGAAAAAATTTTCTGCATCACCTGACAAAGTCAAGTTGACAGAAAATGTTCTTTTGGAAATGGGGGAACATAGCAACTACTTTGGAAATATGTCTGCACCTCAGATAAACAATTAAATAAATAAATAAATAAATAGCCAAAAAGTCCCATGTCCAAATTGTGCGAGCGGAGTATTTTTTGTTTTGTTTTTTGGAGACAGTATTTCTCTGTGTAGCCTTAGCTGTCCTAGAACTTGCTCTGAAGACACCAGACTGGCCTTGAACTGAAATATCCACCTGACTCTGCAGGGATTAAAGGTGTGCACCACCATGGCCCGGATTGTTCATGTAACTTAAAAAAAAGTCTGTCTCTGTGTGTAGTGTGTGTGTGTGTGTGCCTTCCCCAATTGCCCCTAAGGACTTTCTCTAGCTAAATGGCATAGACTCATTCAGTTAAATGTGAGAAACAGAAGCACATTTCCAAAACCCGAAACTGTCATCTCTTCTCAGACCTTCCCAGAGGTGCAGGCAGCAGAGCATCTTACTTGATGGCAGTGATGTAGGATGAGGAGAACATTTCATCTATAGCCTCCATTAAGTGGGACACAGTCACTGGGCCCAGAGAGTTGCCATGATTATGGGAAAGCTCGCAAATCTCGGTGGCACGCCTGCAGATGTCCAGGCAGCGCCGTGCATCTCCAGAGAGGGCTGCTACCTACAAGAGGGAACATGTTATTTACAATGTCCACTTGCCATCTCAACCTAGGTTAATAACCACTGGGTCTACGCACAGCTAAAAAAAATAATGTAGTGCTGAGAATGGCCTTGTGCCAGGTCGACAGCCAAGGAACCTTGTGAAAGCCTGTAATGTATCATATATGGAACACTCTGCCTCCATTCCAAACCATAGCCCCATGATTTTATGAGTAACTCCAGTGGAAAGGGCAGGGCAGAAATCCCCAGTTTTAGTATTCAGGAAATAAGGAGGGCTTGTTATTTGTTAAGCAGGGGTAGAAAAGATGCTTGATTGTTAAGAATACACATGGTGGAACACAAACTGCCTTAAAACCAGGATGGGGAGGAAAGGAAGAAATCAAACTTGGGGGACCCCTATATTGAGACAGGTGAATCAGGCCACTGCACAATGCCAACAGCTATGCTATGGTCAGTCCTTTTCAGTTTCTAGGTCCAACTATCAAGGACCCTTTCACTCTCCCATACTTCAATGTTTTGTTATATGCTTGTTAATTTTGACAGACTATCCCAATGAAGCTGAGGCTGGCCTTGACATTGCAATCATCCTGCCCCACCTTCCCAAGTGCTTATAGGGAGGGATGCACTGCCACACCTACTCAGATCATTTACATTTTAATTCTCAGAATCAGTGCAGTCTACAAAAACCTCTTTCTCAGCTCTTATATTCCCAGGACTCAGCAAGCTGAAATCCACCTGTCATTGGACTGTACCTCTAAAATGATCCATTCCTCCAAAATTGTGGAACATAAACCAAGAAAACTGGCCGAGTGGTGGTGATTATGCATGCCTTTAATCCCAGTACCGGGGAGGCAGAGACAGACAGATCTCTGTGAGTTTGAGGCCAGCCTGGTCTACAGAGCAAGTTCCAGGTCAGGCTCCAAAGCTACAGAGCAACCTTGTCTTGAAAAACCAAGAAAACTATATAGGTATATATTTATATAATACACTAAGATTAAAAGTAGTCATCTTAGCCAGGCATGGTAGTACATGCAAGCAGATCTCTTGAGTTTGAGACAAGCCTAATCTATATAGCATACTAAGCCAGCCAGAGGTACACAGTGAGACCCTGTCTCAAAGGCAAACACAGCAGTCATCTCTGAATAGTGGGCTTATATGCAATTGTTAATGTTTTCAGTAGACCAATTAGACCAAAGAACTCTTCTAATAAAAAGGCATGAGTATCCTCGTCTTCACTTTCACTAGCTTCCTACATCCAAATATTTCCTCATTATTTCCTGGTTCCTATCATCATCCTCACCCTGTGAAACAGCACCCTAGTGGCAAACAGTGTGAACTTATAAGCTCAGGCTAAGACCTAAAGACAATGAGAGAAAACACAGAGAACAAGAAAATACTCAAAGCAGTTCCACCCGGAGCCTTAGGGCTCTTCTGTAGTGAGGAGAATATGTATACAGCCTTATCTGTAGAATGGATGATTCCCTATAAACAGTTCTAACTCTGACCAGTTTCTAAGGGTTGATCTTACTGTGTCCACCTCATTATTTCAGGGTTTTGGTCCTTCTTCGGTGGCTGGCATGGATATAAATGATCCCTTCAATTACACTAAACAGTTTGTTCCTTGAATCATATATGGTTAGTTTGTATAAAAGCCCATAATCCCTGTGGCGTTCTAAATAATGATGTAATAAAAAAAGGTTAAGGAGTCTTCTAGAATATAGTTTCTTCATTGATTTTATCCATCCATTCATTCAATGAGACAGTAGTTTACTATGTAGCCCTGGCTGACTCAGAACTTTCTATGAAGACCAGACCAGCCTCAAACTCAGGGATTCTTTCCCCGCTGTCCTCCATTTCCTATAATTGCCAGACATGGAACTGGAGGTGTGTGCTGCCACCCGCGGCCCATTGGTTTATTCCTAAAGTTCTCTTCATTCAGCATACATAGCACAGGATACATATAGCAGGTGCCCAGGAAGGACTTGTTGACTAGCTCAGAGGTGTAGCAAGGAGCTTCTTGATGGTGATTTACCTTTCTGGCTACCAATTGGATGGCATCATCTTCAAAGGCCTTTAAATGCTTGAGTCGGGACACTAGGATCTCTTTCAGCTGGTTGTGAGAATAGGGCTGGAAGGACATCCTGGTTAGACCCTGAAGAGCCAAGAAGAGAGGAACAAGTTTCATTGTCTAGGTTGGGGAAAAAAAAAAAACCCATCACACTCAGGTCCCCTAGCCCGATTCTCAAGCCCCACATAACAATCTATTTCTTCCTATTTCTCCTTTGAGTTGCTGCCGGCACTATCAATGACTAGGGTATCCTGCAGGACAGTAGTTGTCAAACTATTTATCTTAGAACCTTTTATTCTTTTAGACTCATTTGAGGAGATAAAGGTGCTCTAAAACCTGCATAGTTCCCACCTTCCCTTACCATAGGCACAACATAGTCTGCCTTGTTCTCTGCTCTATTCCAAGTACCTAAGAGGTGGCAGGTGATACATGCTTAGATATTTTTTAAAGTAATAAACTTCTAGGAATTTAAAACTACACAGGGACCAGAATGCCAAAGTATGGGGGAATGGTACTTTTAGAAAACGGCATTGTTTTTCATTCCAACAACAACAAAAACTATTAATTATGGCAGTAATCATTTTCACAGAACATCCTGGACTTACCAGCCGACTAGATACACGGTTCATCATGATCCTCTCTGGCAGGTCCATGGTGTTGGCAATGGCCAGGACTATCAGCCGGGCTCCTTTGTGAGTAGGCCAATCAAAGAGGTTGTACATGACATCTTGTTTGGAAGTCCAAAGAAGGTCAAGCTATCAAAGACGACACAGTGTCACTCAGAGCCCGAGCCAGTGCACCTAAGTAAGCGACTGCCTGCTCTACAGTTAGTACACAGTGCTGCCTGTATTACACCTTCAACAACAGCAAGGAAATCAAGGGTCAGGCTTGGTTGGATGCAGGAGCCAGCACTTCTGCCCTACCCGCCATCTGCTCCTGGGACAACAAAGCTGTGTGGCCATCCCTTCTCTTGTCCTCTCAGAGGTACTTTACCTCATCCACAAGCAGCACAGTGGTCTCCTGTTGGGACCCTTGGCTGCAGAATCGCTTTGCCAGTAGTTGTGCTGCATGATTAGCTGTTGCCTTCTGGCCCGTCAGCTTCTGCATGGGGGAAAAGCAGTTGCTGTAGTAAATGGTGATGATTCCACTCCACTGACCTTAAAGTGCGTTTGTAAGAGGAAGAAGCTGTTTCCTATACTCTGCCTGTTACTATAGACCCTTCCCCAAGAGGGACATTACATGTTCCAAGGTAACAGCTAATGAAAGAACGTTTACACCCTATTCCAGGACACTCCCACGTCACTTGTGAGCTTCTGATTACTGTCATGTTGGCATGTAATCAGTCAACATAAAGCCCTTAGGCCATGGTTTTTGATGCTAAAAATCCTACCCCCTTGCCACCTCAGCATAAATGTGTAAAATGCAAATAAAATTAAGCCTTTCCTTTTCGATGTGCTTCTTAAGAACTATTTCCAACTCCCCCCCCCAAAAAAAACTTTGCCTACCTGTAAAATCTGCACATAGACTTGGTGGGGCTCTGTCAGCTTCATGCCATTGACATCAACATATTCAAAGGGAGGAACATCATTTGTTTGGGCTGCCTGCTGCAGACAGCGTATGACCTCGTTTACAGTGGCCGTCTTCCCTGTCCCAGGAACCCCAGAAATGTACATACACCTAGAACAAGAAAACAATACTCACAGCCTGGGTCTGTGCCATCCACATCCTACTAAGAAAGAACAAGACCCCTGAGATAGGGAAGTGGGAACAGTGAAGACTACCCTAGGAAACTGCCTCAGACTTGTACCTGTTTAGACACACATTCTACAGTCAAAGCTATATGCATGCAAACTGACTACCCAAGCTATATGCATGCAAACTGACTACCCAAAGGTCACCCCCTCCTTTTAAAATTGAGACAAAACCCCACATAGCTCAAGCTAGCCTCAAACTCACTATATATCCAAGGATGACCTTGAACTCTTCATACTCCTGCCTCCACCTCACCACCATGTCCAGTTTATGTAGTGCTGGGGTTCAATCCCAGTGTCACAACCGAGCAGCCCCCCCAGTGGTCACATTAGTTCTGAAAGGCAGAATTCCACTCTTCTAGGCTTAGCAGTGGTTCTGCTTATCCTGTTGTCCCTGAGTGAGCAGCTCTTCCTCAAACTTCCTGTCTACTCAGCATTACTCACCCTCCAGTCCCATCAAGAAGTTTGCTTTCCACAAAGCTATAGATGTCTTGGAATTCCTGCTCTCGACAGGGAAGAGAGTCAGGCACAGCAGAAACATGCAGCCTGCAGTTGGTGGAGGATGGAAGAAAAGAAAGGCTTTAGAAGTCTTTCACCCAATAGAATGTAAAAGACAATAATATTTCTATACAGGAACTATATGAATAAAAGGAAATTCCTTCTCACCTCTTTCCACAGTGCCTCACCCAACCTCCCTTTTTTTCAACAAAACCACTTGGGTAGACCAAAATCTACTAGTTTCCAAAAATCTTGATCTGATCCTGAATTTTAAAAGAATTCCTACTTTAGGGCCCTGCAGCTAAGAGGAATCAGGCTCAGAAACACTAAGAAAATGGCAGCAGCCTTGGAGGCATTTCCTTCCATCTGCATTAGCCCAGTCATTAGTTGTTTAAAGTTCATGTAAGTACTTGTTTTACTGTCTTCCACCAGTATATAAAACTGACTTCACAGTACTGGCCCAACCACCTCCAATTTATGTGAAGAAAGAGGCCCACCACTCCAATCTATCCAAGCAGGACCCCTGAGCAGCATTACCTCAGCCGGGCCTCTTCAAGCACACTTGTTGGCTCCTGGACAGCGATATTTCTACCCCGAATCTGAGGAGTTGGATGATGAGTCTGTAATCAAAGAGAATATAAATTATAATAAAACAAAACAAAGCAAAAATAAACAAACAAAACAAAACCTACCCAGGACACAGAAAACTGATCTGGTAAAAAGACAAGGTAGTCTTACCTCCTACATGTATGAAAGAAAAATGATTCACTCCTCATCCCCACCCCCTCACATCAAACATTTTGTTCATAACCCAAAAAGGATCTCTTTTTATATTTATATGGGTTCAGAATTGGATTATAGTTGAGGAAAGAATTAAAAAAATATATATATAGATTATTCAGCCAGGCATGGTGGTGCATGCCAATCCCGGTACCTGGGATGGAGACACAGGCCAAAACAAAACCCCCAGGGCTTCACACCTATTATGCAAGTACTCTGCCACTGAACTACATCTCTGGCCTTTCACTAAATATTTCAAAGCTAAAGAAATTATTAGCAAACTGAAACTACTCTGCTCAAGAAAAAGAGCCATAGGTTGTGTCTGATTCCTGAGATCTTTGTTTATTTGAAAATAAGATCAAGCTTTGACTCAGGAAAAATAGCAACAACAAAACCCAATAACATCAAAAAGCCAACTCACCAGATTTTTTTATTCTAAATCCCTGGGTCATCGCTCCCACTCACAGGCCTATTCCATTTTTTTTTTTTAATTTTAACTTTATTTCATGTGCCTGAGTGTTTTATCTGTATGTAAGTCTGCACACAATGTGCGTGCCTGAGGCACAAAGAGGCTAGAAGAGGACACCGAGTTCAACAACAATAGAATGAGTTGCTCTGTCAGTGCTGCAAATCACTCGGGTCCTCTGGAAGAACAAATGCTCCTAACTGCTGAGCCATCCATCGCTCCAGCCCCACAGGCTTGCTCTTTCTTGATGGCTACTCTATGGAGCAGAACAATGCTTTCTCTCACTCCTCTTCCTGGTATGGAGTGATGGCCAACTCTCTACCTTTCCTTGGCCAACAATGTGCAGACTCTGACTGTTTAAAAGGTCTTTTATCTATTAACAGGAGAAAACATACGATCCGCAGGAAGGTAACTACAAGTCTAGTAGACATTTTGACTATTCTGACAGGGCCACACATCCCTATTTTCTGGTGAGACCTAGGGGATGTGAACAATCAGCACAGTGAGCCTTTTGCACCTGTATTTGAGGAAATCCAAGTAAATATGGCCTTTAGTTCAAATGGGATCTACTAGACTTCCTTCCTTACAGGCTCTGCCTCAGCTCCATCTTGATCTGGAAAAATGGAGAACAGTAGTTTCTAAGCAAGCATTCCCTAACTGTATGCTAAAGAGTTCTACCGTGTTTAACTCTCGTGTTTCTCAAACCCGCTTCTACATGAGAAGATACCAACATCTTTAATGCCGTTAAAGTCAACAGGAACTTCCCTCCATTTTCCTGTTGCACATTCATTACCACACTTAAGCAGTACTCCTGATCTCTCAACTGCACCTAGTGCAGCCCAGAATTCAGTTCCCTCTGAGTGCCAAGGGAAACGCAAACCCCTGCTCTTGACCATCTGACTCTGGCTCTTGAAAGAAACTTGAACCCTGAGCAAGGCACATGTGGTAGCACATGTTTGGGGTCTGGCTATAGAGTAACACACCATAAGGGAAAAAAGTCATCTTCAAGTAAATTAATCTTCAATCAAGTTGCCAGCTCCTCTAGGGAACAAACAGACTACTTTAACTGTCATAGCCCTCTGCTGAGAATCCAGCTGTTACTGCTTGATCTGGGAATTACCATTATTTACCACACAGGAGGGACATGTCCGTGAAAAACAAACCCAAAAGAACCTTACAGTTTTCTTTGGTGTCTTGGAGGGGGTCTGCAATGATGGCTTTGAGGCCATTCTCCGGTTCCTGGACTGCGGCTGGGAATTTCTCTTTAGAAGGGAAGGAATAGAATCATCTTCCTCCTCACTAGTGGAGTCTGACACCTCTGCTGAGGATATGGACTCTTCCTCTTCTTGGTCACTCTTATCATCATCGAGAAGCCTGAGCGTGGTGGAGACTAATTATTTTCTATTATTTGGTGTTCAAGCCTTCATAAGAACTGTATAAAAGTGTGCATTAGAGGCATTATAGTTACTTCCACCACCAGGCAATGTGATTTGTTTCACTTCTTAGATACTTGCTTGAGATGCTCTGCTAAAGGCGTCACATGTTCACTAAATCCCTCAACAAAGTTTTTGGCATCCCACACTCCCAGACTTGCTGGAAACAAGAATGATGTGGCCAAGGAACCACAAGCCCAGGCCAGTATTTCTTGTCGCTTTCAAACTATGGCACTTGTACAAAATGCAAGGTGAAAGAGTATCAGTGCACTGGCCATTCAAATAGAAGGGGCATTAAGGGACAAATGCTATCACAGACAAGGTTGTTCTGCTTATCATTGGGCAGTCTTACCAAAGCTGCTGCCTAATCCGATTCAAAGTCAAGAGAGAGCTCCTTCTATGAACACGATGGGAAGTACGGGTGGGTTCTGTGTGAGCTTCTTGTTTTCCCGCCTCCCTGTAAGGCATCACATCTTAATTAGAGAAAGGCATTGAGACACCAAGGATCCACAGTAGGTACTGGAGATAGTCGGGTCTCACTGGCTCCTATTCTTTCTATAGCAATCAAACGGCTCAAAAGCTCATCAAATAGACACATGTTTTCTTAACACATCATTTAAATCACTTATCACTCTGTCATTGTGGACCAAAATGGATGAATTCAACAGATTTTTGTCCCCTTTTTATTTTTGTCATTTTTTTATAAAAGCTCAAAGTTAGCAAAAATATATTCAGTAATAATATATACTCAGTATGTATTGAGCAATGTATTATGTGCCAGGTGCTGGGAATTTCTATTTAAGAAATATTGAAAAACATGTTATTTCTAGTCTGTCACTTTTATTGTGAAACTCATTATCTACACATATTATCAAGTACCAAACTATAAAGCTTGCTTTAGGATTTATTGTCTTCTTTAACTACATTTAAGAGTAGATCCCAGGTTCAAAATACAAAAACAAACAAACAAAAAACCCCACCCAACTGAAAAAAAAAAGATGATTAAATTTAGTGTCACCATGTAGCTCAGTCTAACCTTGAACTCACACACTAGCCCTGTCTTATGCCTATCACCATACCCAACTTCAAAGAGCATTCCAAAATACAGATTCCTGGGTGCAACACTTGAAGCATATTTTACTAAACCCTGGCTCAGTAACCTTTATTTGGAAAAGATCCTCAGAGATTCTCAGTCTGGTTAGACAACCACAGACCAGAAGCTTCCCTCTGTGACATTAATTTCTTATCATAAAAAGTATCTCTGTTGAGATACTTCAGGAGGCGATGTTACTGCTTACCTCCCAGTCCGCTTTGGTGTCAGAATTGAAGTGAGCATCACTGAAGGCCTCAATCTGCTCCTGACAGGGTCGAGTGCCCTCTCCATACTAATCTTTGTAGTTATGAAAGATGGGTCTTGCGCTCTTAGAATCATGCTACCTTTGTCACAAAAGGAATGAGCCTGTCCATTCTTTTCCAGAGTTTTCAAAGGTGACAAGTTCTTGATTTCACCAGGCTGACATCTTTTAGGTGGTGAGGCTGTCTCAGAGAAGGCTGTTTTTCGTTTAGAATTTTTTTGAGAATCCAAGGAGTCACACAAGATCTTCTGTGATAGCCTCATGTTAGGCTTCCTGGGAATGTCTGAGTCTCAAGAGACAATGTAGGATATGTTATTTATACGTAGAAACACACTCCCCCAATCTCATGATGCAACTGAAGTTACACAACTGAAGCTATTCATACCTTGAATCAGTCCATATTGTCCCTTTCTAAGCCAAGTGGCCTCTTCTTTCCTAAACTTCACGTATGATTTTACTATTTAAAAACATACATAACTTTTATTTGTTTTCCTATTTCAGCCCTAGGGATTGAACCCAGGATCTTGCTAAGTATGTGCTCTACCACTGAGCTGCATCTGCTGGATTTAGAATTTGACTTCTAGGTTAGCTTTTGTAGAAAAAATATTCAGTAATCAAGCTTCCCTGAGGCAACACTGCACAGTAACCACCCCCAATGCAACAGCATTTGAAGAAATTTAGGACATTACTGAGTGATGCTATACCCAAATTTTTTTCTGTTCTTTTTTTAAAACCCAGATTATATCTGCCAAGACAGAGGAGGAATTCCTAAAAACAATCATTACATGTAGATCTGCTCTACCCTTGCCAGGACTATGAGAACCAGGGATCATAGCCCTTTATAGATACAGCTGAACTATTAAAAAGGCAAGGTATAGATTAGGTCCTAGCAAGAAACAAAAGGTGAACGAGACTCAACCTTGGTACTTATCCAAGGACACGCTGATCTAACTGAGGAGATGGCAGGCAGGAATTCCACACAGTCTAAAGCATAGATGAGACAACTTCAGTCATACTTATGGTGCGAGACAGGTACAGACAGTTTAAGAGCCATCTAGTGTCTGTGTGAATCATTAATTAAGGTGGCTTTATTCACAATCAACAAAAACTAAAAACATCCAGATGTGGTTATTGATAAAACAGAGCATTGCATAAAAAGGAACAAATCATCGATAAAAGGGATGACTCACAAATGAATGAAACTAAGAGAAGAGAAACAAACAAAAAGGTCAGACTGTGATTCCAATTGTGGGACATGCCAGAAAAAGCCAACCATAGACAGCAAACACATCCCTGTGCAGCAGGGGTTGGGGGGAGGAAGAACTGGTGTGTTACAAAGGAGCATAGCACACTGAAGTAGAACTATTTTACAACTACACTTACCACTGAGTTCCAGCGGCTTCCTTGCATTGGGGGAGACAGGATGAGCAGATGTCTGGCAAGATTTGGAGGTAGAGTGACTTGATTCAATCCTTTTGACCATTTGTTCTGTTGCGTTCCAAGAAGGGTTTTTTACATTCTTACTCTTGCCTTCTAAAGGTTTCTGGCACTTAGGGCTATCTTCTAGTTTCTTCAATGCTGCAAGTACTTCTGGTGACAGTGGTTCAAAGTTTTTTGTATTCCAGGATAGCTTCACAAACAGTGTGTCCTCACTTTTCTGATCCATAGGGATCACTTCATCTGGGGCTAAAGCCACTACCTGAAATTTGGAAGTGAGATAATCAAGAAAAAATGGAGACTATACAGCCAAGAAAAACTATCATGCCTGCAATGAAACCTATTTAAGCTCACATCTTTATATGAAATGCCACCTTTTATATCTAAAGAGAAAGACACTGCATAGCAAATTAGTTGAGAAACTAAGCATTTACAAAGTCATGAATAGTTTGAGGAGAATGTCAGCAAGATGTAATTTGTTTTTCTGGTTTTTTGAAACAGTGTCTCTTTACGTAGTCCCGAATGTCCTCCTAGGTCAGAGATCCATCAGCCTCTACCGTGTGCTGTGATTAAAGATATGTACCAACACATCCAGCAAATTATTCCTGTTTTCCCCCCAACCTCTTATTGACTTTACTTTTTTGGACAGGGTCTCCTGCAACTTCTAATCCTCATAACTTTACTTTGTGAGTATTGGAATTACAGGTATGTACCTCCACAGCTGATTTATGCAGTACTTGTAACTGAACCCAGGGCTTCATGCATGCTAGGCAGGAACTCTACTAAAGGAACTCCATCCTCGCCTTGGCTTCTCCTCTTCATTCCTGCTATCATCCAGTTCAATCACACATTATCCCCTTCCTTGCTCCCCCCATCCCACCATCTATTCACCTAGGCCAAACTCCCAAAAACTTCTCAACATACTAGACAGTTAGCAGTAGTTCCACACAGCTGCAAGATGACTTTAACTGTTCTTCAATGTCTTCTAAGATCATGCTGCACCTCACTTCCAGAGCTCTCAGTGATCCCTACATGGCCAAGCATCACTAGCAGAGCTTGGCTCTAGTAAATGTCCTGCTTACTGCCAACAGTTTGATTTTCCCAAATACTACTTCTCTCCTGCCCGTTTATTCTAGTTACTTTCTGTTGCAATGATAAAACACCGACCAAAACTAACTCAAGGAGGAAAGGGTTTATTCCACTTTACAGCTCACAGTTCATCACTGAGGGAACTGGAGACAGGAACTGAGGCAGAGGCCATGGAAGAATGCTATTTACTGGCTTGTTGCCCTTGCTTTCTTTTTTTTTTTAATACCACCCAGGAAAGGGTAGCATACACAGTGGACTGGGCCCTCCCACATGAATCATTAATCAATAAAATGCCCCCACAGACTTGCCTAGAGGCCAGTTTGTTAGAGGTACTTCATATAGACTCTAGTTAAGTCAACAAAAGCTAACCAGCACACCTTCCAAATCTACCTGCTCTGCTGCCTCAACTTCATTCATTCTATGAGATAAATTACTGTAAATAATAATAACCATAAATAAATTACTGTAGCCAGGTCAGACCAGTCTCTCTGGCCAACTGTTAAACCAATTCACTAATCACCCAAAGCCAGACTTTATACAGGAGATAGTTATGAAAGCAGCTCTAGAAATAAGATAAACATTCACGGGTACACGCACACACTACAAACACACACACGGTTTTCAAAACATTATCTACTTCAACAGCTCAGCTCCTGAATACAAAAATCCTATAACACAAAGCTGCCTTTAGCAATCAGCACTTTTTGAGTTATTTAAGGTGAAGTCCTCATGTTACAAAGCACACTCAGCCTTACAATGTTTTGTGCCTGCCATAATCATAGCTAGATATGATTTTTCACTGAGACACATTTTCTAATTCCTGCTCTTCCATCAGGTCATAATCCAAATGTCATTTCCTCTAGAAGGTACAGAACACATGTGCTATGCTCTCAATATCTGTGGGATGGGACAATCAGCCACAGAAGGTAAGAAAAAAATTCAAATTAGAAGCCGGGCGTTGGTGGCGAGCGCCTTTAATCCCAGCACTTGGGAGGCAGAGGCAGATGGATCTCTGTGAGTTCGAGACCAGCCTGGTCTACAAGAGCTAGTTCCAGGACAGCCTCCAAACAATACAAAGAAACCCTGTCTCGAAAAACCAAACCAAACCAAACCAAAATCAAATTAGAACCAATAATATTTCTGAGGCCATGCAGTGTAGATACTTTAGAACCGGAGGATTTAAGGCACCACCTACCTGAACAGGACCAATGATGGTCTCCACACAAATGTTGTTACCACAGTCGGGATCGTCATACCAGAATATCTCCTGTGCAGCAGGCTTCCGGCCTAACAAATGCCTTTTAGAGATAGGAATCTCAGAGAATCGGACACACCACTGTACTCGAGCACATTTCTTGGAATGAAATTTAGATCCTAGGAGGATCAGGTGGAAAGGGGAGATGAAAATAGGAAGGTAACTAATACAATGCATCACTGAATATGGCCTACATGCCAAATACCACACAATATAAATATTTACTCCCCATAACTCTACAAAACAGGTACTACACCTATTACATTTACAGGCCAAAAACCAAGTTTCAAGAACCTTAGATAATTTGACAATGATCCAAGAACCAACCAATCACTAGCAAAATGACTCCACTTCAGAAACATGCTCTTTATGGTACTCCACTTAGAAAAAAAAAAAAGATTTTATTTTTATTTTATGTGTATGAGTGTATTGCCTTCATGTACTTATATGCACCACTTGTGTATAGTATCCATGGAGGCTGGATTTGGGAGTCACAGTGAGTACTATGAACTAACCCTGGGTTCTCTGAAATAGTGAGTGCTTTTAAGTGCTGAGCCATCTTCCCAGCCCCAGTGTTCCATTTTTAATAGTGTTTATCAGTATAAAAAGGAATTTCCAAAGGGATGGAAAACAAGTTACTATAATCATAGGCATTTGTCAATGGAAAAATTGTATAAATTAATGATTAAGAAGGCCACCAGTTAGGTATGGCGTTTCATACTTGGGAGACAAGGACAGGAGCATCCTGAGTTTAAGGTTATAAATAGAGTTCAAGGCCAGTGTGGGGTATTAAAGACTTCGTAAAGAAACCATACTTGCAAAATTTCATATTAACTTCCTCAACGCTGGTGGCACACGCCTTTAATCCCAGCACTCGGAAGGTAGAGGCAGGCGGATCTCTGTGAGTTCAAAGCCAGCCTGGTCTACCGAGTGAGTTCTAGGACAGGCTCCAAAACAATACAGAGAAACCCTGGGGGTGGGGGGCCCTCCAGAACTACAAACATGTGTACCCAGCTGTTATGGACTATTACTTTAAGATGTGTCTCGTTTATACTACAGAGTATTTGTTCAATGATGCAAAGATGTGTTGCATTCTTTTATGTTGCATTTATTTAACTCTGTAAAACTGTGTTACTTTGACTGTCTAAAACACCTGATTGGTCTAACAAAGGGCTGAACGGCCAATAGCAAGGCAGGAAAAAGGAAAGGTGGGGCTGGCAGGTAGAGAGAATAAATAAGAGAAACTTGGGAAGAGAAGGTGGGGAACAAGAAAAGGAGATAGGATGCAGGGGCCAGTCACCCATCTGCACAGCAAGCCATGGAGTAAGAAGTAAAGAAAAGTATATAGAACAAAGAAAAATAAAAGCCCGGAGTCATAAGGTAGATGAGATAATTCAAGTTAAGAAAAGCTGGCTAGAAACAAGCCAAGCTAAGGCTGGGCATTCCATAAGTAAGAACAAGTCTCTCTGTGTGTATTTATTTGGGAGATGGGTGGCGGGCCCCCAAAGAGAAAAGAGCGAAAAAACAGACAATACCCCACAGTGTAAATCACCAATTTTCCTTCAGTCTTCCTAAACTCCCCATCCCTATACCCTGCACTTGACATCCTTAGTCCTAAAAATAATGGAAAGGCTAAATTCTAGAGTCCACTAATTCCATTTTACCACACACTATGCTGCTGCTGTGTATGAAGTCTACATGAAGAAAGAAACAGCTAATACTTATGTGATCTACCCATAGTGCTCTGCAAGTGCCTATGAATAGAGAATTCAGTATCTTCCCCTCTTACATACTTTGCAATTGTGTCCAGTAAATTAAGGCTCCCATTTCAGGCCCAAACTCACCATCTTCAAATAATTCAATCAGTTTAGCAACATAGGGCTTTGCATTATTATTTCCTTTAATCAATACAAACTGTCCAACCTTGATGTGAATCTCAGTGGAACAATCATTGACTTTCATTCGCATTTCTCTAGAAAGCAAAGAAACATGATCAAAGGGGGATAAGGTTTTTATTTAGTTAATTTAATTTTTATTTATTTATTGATTTGAGGCAGGGTTTGTGTATCCCTGGCTGTCCTGGAACTAATTCTGTATACTAGGCTGGCCTCGAACTCAGAGATCCCCCTGTCCCTGGAAAAGATTTTTAGAAACAAAATTCTTTTAAAGGACATGCCTATCTAGCTACCTCTTTTGAGATTTAATTTTTATTTCACACGTATGAGTGCTTGCCTGTGCAATACATGCATGTGCAGTGCTCATGGAGGCCAGAAGAGGACACTGGATCCCCTGGGACAGTTGTGAGTTACCACGTGAGTCCTCTGAAAGATAAGTCAGTGCCCATAACCACTGAGCAATCTTTCAAGCTCAAAAACATTCATAAGAGCTGGAGAGATGGTTCTTTCAGAGAACCCGGGTTCAATTCCCAGCATCCAGCAGGGAATCTGACATAACCACAGGAAAAACACCAATGTATATAAAAATAAAAATAAGAATAATTAAAAAATAGATTCTTAAACTAGAAATTCCTCTAAGTGGTTTCTCTAAGCTCTCCAATTATCTTACTAGGAAACCAATATACCCCGTGAAAGTACACAAAAAGGGTTCAATGAATTGTTTTAGCATAAATGACTAACTTAGATGCCTCCCCACAGTCTTAACTACCTCAGTTACTGACAAAGGTCAATAAAGGGTTCAGGAGGCTGGAAAGCTACCCAGTAATAATAGCAAAACTGCTAAGGAATGGGGAGAAGCTCAGTAGATGAAACACTTGCTGAATGGGCAAGCACAAGGATTAGAGCTCAGTTTCCCAGCACTCACGTAAAAAGCCAGTTAAGTGTGTCAACCACCTGGAATATAGCATTTGGGAAGCAGACAAGGAATCCCCAGGGCAAGTTTAGCTAGAACTGGTGAGTTGGGGTCAGCAAAAAGAACCTACACAAAATAATAAAATAGAGGTTGTCTATGAGGTTCAGGGACCTTCAGGGAAGAAGAGACAGAAAGATTCTAAGATCTATAGGTGGTTGGCCATACATCAAGGAAAAGGCGTTTTTCAGATACAGCAGGGCAAGTGCACATATGAACTCACAGCAATGTGACAGAACACACAAGACTTTTTTTTTTTTTTTTTTTTTTTAAACAAACTCTAGGCAGGCAAAATCCTAGCACAGAGAGAAGGTGGGTACACGAATCCCAACAGTAGCTAAGAAGCTATTGGCATTTGATAGCTGCTGGGAGAGGGAGAGTCAGTTTTCTTTAATAATAATGCGATCCCTATAGGGCAGGCCCACTCCCAAGACTAGCTGCACAACATGAACTTAACATATTTGGTAAAGAAAAGAAAAGAAAAGAAAAGAAAAGAAAAGAAAAGAAAAGAAAAGAAAAGAAAAGAAAAGAAAAGAAAAGAAAAGAAAAGAAAAGAAAAGAAAAGAAAAGAAAAGAAAAGAAAAGAAAAGAAAAGAAAAGAAAAGAAAAGAAAAAGGGAAAGGGAAAGGGAAAGGGAAAGGGAAAGGAAAAGGAAAAGGAAAGGAAAGGAAAGGAAAGGAAAGGAAAGGAAAGGAAAGGAAAGGAAAGGAAAGGAAAGGAGGAGGCCAGGCGGTGGGGTGTATACCTTTAATCCCAGCACTCGGGAGTCAGAGGCAGGCAGGTCTCTGTGAGTTCAAGGCCATCCTGGTCTCCAGAGCGAGTGCCAGGATAGGCTCCAAAGAGAAATCTTGTCTCGAAAAACAAAATAAAACAACAACAAAGAAGAAATCTCAAAGTTTGGTAGAAAGGAATGAGATAGAGTGGTGATGGAGTGGAGAGAGGATGATGAATGTTCAAAATACATAGTATGTAAGAAATCTCAAAGAATAAAAATACTGCAATCAGTAACGCAGAAGGCAATCAAGGAAGCACTCAACATCAATTTCAGGCATCCACCGAGCATACACACCTGCCCCCATACATATATGCATACATACACTAAACATGCACACACAAGTAAGTTGGGAAGGATGCAGTACCAACATCTCTCTCTTTTCTACTGTCCCTCAAATCTCAATCTGCACTGAATTGACTAGAGCAGCTTAAATACGAGGTGAACAGTTTAGCTTGAAAAGCTAGTTACATTTTGCAGCCTAACCAAAGAGCTTCGCCACTTACTTGTAGATTTGGTGGTTGTGTTTTCGATCTGGCAATGGCCTGCCAACCCATGAGAAAATTTTTCGGGTCTTCTGCCTTGTGAGATACGATGGCATGTCTCTGATGGGTTGTAAGATATAGTTAGTCCCTGCCTTCACTGAATTAGTTCAGCCTCTTTTCTCAATACCCCTGCTTTTTTATCTCTCTCTCTCTCTCTCTCTCTCTCTCTCTCTCTCTCTCTCTCTCTCTAGACAGGGTCACTTTACACAGACATGACTATCCTGGAACTCACTATGTAGACCAGGCTGCTCTCAAACTCATAAGAGATCTGCCTGCTTCTACCTTTAAGAGTGTTAGAAGTAAAGGCATGTGCAGTAGCCACCTGGCTAGCAGTAAGTACTTATAAACATTTATGACTTATTTCTTAAGTATTGGGCCTCCAGTTTCCCCAGGTGAAATTAATTAAAGTATTATATGCAATATCTACATAAAATACACTAAATTGCCTGTATTTGATTTCCAACAAGATCGACTTTACCCACAAATTAAATGTTACTGATCTAGAACAGCCAAGGCCACAGAGAAACCCTATCCCCCCAAAAAACAGGAAGAAAAAAATACTGACTTCAAACACAGTATAACAGATGTGAACAAATATCTAAGTGAATTCAGATGTAATAAAATATAATCAAAAACTAATGGTGCAAAGAGCCTAAAGGAACTACTGGAAGTTAGAAGGCCAGGTCTTGTGATTCAGGGAAAAAGGGCTTTGCAAGGATTTCTCAGATGAATTGAATAATTGAAACACCGATAAATAGAACTGAAATAAGGAGTTGCCAGCTGATTCCCTGGGACTCAATGGCAAGCCAGGCTAACCTACTTGGCAAGATAATGTTTAAAAAGAAAAAAAATTAAGTTATAGCTCCTGAAGAATGACCTCCAAGGTTGTGCATAGAAATATACCCATACAAAACCAGTAACTGACTATACTTCGTTAGCAGGACATTTTTCTTTGAATCTGGTAGACCCAGAATACTGTGAATAGGTAAAAAGAAACGCTGACATTAAAGTACAGGGTGGAGAGCTAGAGAGATGACTCAGCAGTTAAGAGTACTTGCTGCTCTTGCCAAGAACCAAGTTCAGTTCCCAGTACCTACATGGTGGCTCACAAGTGCCTGTAACTGTAGTTGGATCGCATAGTCTCATCTAGCCGCTACAGCTGGTGATGTTAGTAGGTTCACTTATACACATGAAGGCAAAAGTTTATATTAAATAAATCTCTAAAGTACATTTTTAGTGACAAAAAAAGTTAAAGGACCAAGAAGTACAAATACAACCTTCTCCGCAAAAGATGTAGACATTAAAACCTATCAGCCCTGGAGGTGGAGAGATGGCTCAGAGGTTAAGAGCACTGACTGTTCTTCCAGAGGTCCTGAGTTCAATTCCCAGCAACCACATGGTGGTTCACAACCATCTGTAATGAGATCCGGTACCCTCCTCTGGCCTGCAGGCATACATGCAGGCAGAACACTGTACACATAATAATAAATTAAAAAAAAAAACTATCAGCCCTAATAAAAATATTAACACAGCATCTTAGAATTAATTAGTACTAAGCCTTTAATCAAGATTTCATGCTTCTCTTATAGCTCTCAGAGGGCTAATATACAAGAAAACTGGGACTTAGAATTTTTCTGAATTACTGATGAGAACAAAGTCTAGGGGGGGGGTTATAAAAACATATAGACATCCAAATTAAACAAATTGGTTTCCTTGAGTTTTGTGACATTGTGTACTTATTCTATTCAGGAACATTTGACCCCTAAAATTTCTCAGCTTTTCCTTTTCTTTTCTTACTTTTTTTGGCTTTTCAAGACAGGGTTTCTTTTCTCTGTGTAGCCTTGAAGCCTATCCTGGCACTTGCTCTGGAGACCAGGCCTGCCTCAGCCTGGGATTAAAGATGTGTGCCACCAATGCCCAGCTTACTTTTTTTTTCTTTGAGACAGGATTTCTCTGTGTAGTCCTGGCTGTTCTGGAACTCCTCTGTAAACCAGGCTGGCTTCAAATTTACAGAGATCCACCTGCCTCTGCCTCCTGAGTGTTGGGATTAAAGGCGTGTGCCAACACTGCCCAGATGCGTTAAAGAAAAAAAAAATTGAAGAAACTCTAACAGTGAAATGAAGATACTGGGTCATTAGTAAATAAACCACCTATATAAGATGCATGAGGGACTCTGGCTCTGGATCCCTTCTTGTTGCAAGGAGTCTGCTTTCTCCCTTACTTACACTTTGAATAAAAATTAGCTTTGCAAAAACCTCAGGGGGCAGGGCAGGGAGAAGAGATAGATGAGTGATGGCCTTGAACTTCAGCATTTGGAAGGCAGAGGCAAGTCGATTTCAGCTGAGGTCCAGTCCAGCCTGGTCTACATGACACATTCCAGGTTATCTAGGGCAACACATAGCAAAACCTTGACTCAAAAACAAAATGACATCCTTAGTCATCAGGGAAATGCAAATCAAAACAACTTTGAGACACCAGCTTACTCCTGTCAGAATGGCTAAAATCGAAAATAACAATGACAGTTTATGCTGGAGAGGATGCGGAGAAAGAGGAACACTCCTCCACTGCTGGTGGGAGTGCCAACTTGTACAGCCACTGTGGAAATCAGTATGGCGACTCCTCAAGAAAATGGGAATGAGTCTACCACAAGATCCAGCAATTCCACTCCTAGGCATATACCTAAAAGAAGCACATTCATATAACAAGGACATATGTTCAACATTGTTCATAGCAACATTATTTGTAATAGCCAGAAACTGGAAGCAGCCTAGATGCCCCTCAACCGAAGAATGGATAGAGAAATTGTGGTACATTTACACAATAGAGTACTAATCAGCAGAAAAAAACAATGGAATCTTGAAATTTGCAGGAAAATGGATGGAACTGGAAGAAACCATTCTGAGCGAGGTAACCCAATCACAAAAAGACAAACATGATATGTACTCACTCTTATGTGGACCTGCTTTATGATACACAGTAGTGACCATGCTTTATCAGAGCTGTTTTGTTGTTGTTGTTTTTTTTAAAGATTTTATTTATTTATTATGTATACAACATTCTGCTTCCATGTATATCTGCACACCAGAAGAGGGCACCAGATCTTATAACGGATGGTTGTGAGCCACCATGTGGTTGCTGGGAATTGAACTCAGGACCTCTGGAAGAGCAGTTGGTGCTCTTAACCTCTGAGCCATCTCTCCAGCCCTATCAGAGCTGTTTTTAATGATGTTGCTCAACTAATTTAAAAAAAAAAATGGTGCCAAGTTCCACAAGAGTAACAAAACTGTGCTGTCTTCTGGGATTTTGTTTTTTACTTTTTTGATGTTGTTTGTTTTTTTGTTTGTTTTTTGTTTTTTTAAAAATGGTGTGTGCTGGATGTCTCTACAATTTTGTTCAAAGGACTACAGAACCTGGAAAAGCTGTTGCTGCTATTGATGCATAACATATTGCCATTATTGCTTTTTTATATAAATATAAATATATACATAAATATAAGCTAAAAAAAATTACAAAATAAAACAGGCCACAAATGATTGTATGATTATGTGATGTATAATTTGCAACATATTACCAGTGTTATTAACTTGTACTGCTCTGTCTGTGCTACAAAACTGAATCAATTTTAATTGAATACAAAGTAGACACAAGCAAAGAGCAAAGAAGCCAGGCTGGGTGGCAGAGAGACATAGTCCTAACTATTCAGGAGTCTGAGGCAGGAGGATCACCAAGTTCAAGGCCTGTCAGATAGATTGAGTTCAAGGATGCTATCTCAAGCTGAAAAAAAAAAAAAAAAAAAGCGCTGGGGATATAGGTCTATGGGTATTCACTTGCATAGCTTTATGTGTTTATGGCTCTAGATTCAATCCCCAGTACTTGGTAGGGAGGGGATGAGCAAACATAAATAAAAGGATTGCTCAAGTGAAAAATAAAATTGGATTTGTACTGTTCAATAACCTTTTGGGAAAAATTAGTGAAAGTGCTTGAATCTATACAAATGTTTAAGGAAAATCTAACACGTACTTTCAACATATATTCTTTTTAAGAGATGATGCAACACACAATTGTCAGAAATAATCTTGTAACTTCTCCCAGCTTTCCACAATGAAATCAAGCAAATGCCTCTGGAATATAAAACAAGGACTTAAATAAATTGCAGTACTCAGCAAGCACTCATTTAAATAAAATGAGAATATCACTGGGTGATTTGAAGCAACTTACTGTTTTCTATCAAAACCGTATATAATCCTCAAATGATCTAACTTTAAGATGAATGGCATTTATATTGGTACAGCCACTAGGCATAATGGCCTTTAAATCCCAGCAGAGGTAGGCAAATTTCTGAGTTCAAGGTCAGCCTGAGCTATATAGAGTTCCAGGGCAGCCAGGGTGACACACTGAGACCACTCCTCAAAAACAAAATAGCAAAAACAAAAACCCTATAGAATCCCTTTGGGAAACTAAAAAAGTTTTCTTTTAAATTCCTGGACATATGCCTACTCTTTGACCCAGTAACTCATGTGCGTATCAAATATACACACATCATGAAAAGACACGAACAAAAATGTTCCCATTATTTTACTAGGTTGGCACACAACCTTTAATCCCAGCACCCAGGAAGCAAAGACAGTTGAATCTCTTCCAGACCAACCTAGTCTGTAAACTGAGTTCCAGGTCAGCCAGGGCTGTTACAAAGAAACACTGTCTCAAGAAAAAAAAAAAATTAATTTTGTTCCTGTGCATGTATGTGTTTACCAAGTGCCAAAGCACACATGTTGAGGTAGAGGACAATTTGAGGAAGCAGGTACTCTCCTTCCAACCTGTGAGTTCCTAGATTCTAGCTTAATGTCAAGGGCCAATATTGTCATTTTGCAGGTCCTAATTTTGCTTTTTCAATTGGAATGTTGAGGACAAGTGACAGAACTTGGCTTGTTAGAGCACCGGTTGTGATCTTCTATTTGAAAACACTACTTTCTTACATTCAAATATAAAGATCAGCATTTAATTTAAGTACAAATTCGATGTTATGTAATTCACAGTTCAATCCAAAACACTGAACTCAATTTCACAGAATTCAGAAACCTCCAAACATCCAAATATTGTCCTCTAATACAGCTCTTTAAAAAAATTGTAATTCTGGACGGACGGTGGTGGTGCAAGCCATTAATCCCAGCACTCCGGAAGCAGAGGCAGGTGGAGGCCAGCCTGGCCTACAGAGTGAGTTCCAGGTTAGCCATAGTTACACAGTGAAACCCTGTCTCGAAAAACCAAAAAGTAAATCAACAAATAAATACACAGTAATTTTGAAAAAGCCAGGCATGGTGGAACACACCTTTAATCCCAGAGCCCGAGAGGCATACACAGTAATTTTGAAAAAGCCAGGCATGGTGGAACACACCTTTAATCCCAGAGCCCGAGAGGCAGAGGCAGTCTCTGAGTTCGTGGCTAGCCTGGTTCAGAGCGAGATCCAGGACAGCCAAGAAGACAACACAGTGAAATACTGTCTCGGAAAAAAAAAAAAAAAACCCACAGTGCGACTATTCGACTTCTATGGACAAGTAAAATGGCCTGCCTCATCATTGCAGTTTCACTCGTACTAACCCTCAGCAGGCATCTCTCATCTCAAGCCTTAGGACAACCACTTGACAAGGTTACATTCTGTTCTAGGCTAGCCCCTAGAAAGTAGAAAGCGGGCCATTAGACTTTCTCTTTTGTGACTGGCGATGAAAGCCTCCCCCACCCCCCAAGGGCAACCCATTTGGAGAGGATTCCTGAGCAGGCCGGGACGCCAAAGCACAAGAGATAACTTAGAGAAAGTCTCTCTCTGGGCGCAATCGCTAGTTGATAAAGTGGAGAAGAGCATCAGCTTCGCCGTTCCATAGAAAACGTTGCGAGGGTTTTTCAGAGGCAGTGCTTATGAAAAGCCAGAGCCTTAGGCACCCGAGGGCAAGCCACACACACACACTTCTCTGAGGTGGACTTCCGGCTTCCACAGGGCAAACACTCGGTTTCCCGCAGAGCAGGAAGTATTCCAGGACCTTGGTGGAGCCAAGAAGGGTCTGTTTGCTAGCAGAGAACAGTGCCCGCCACTTAATAGGTGCTTGGTGCATGTGTGTGGACCGAAATCATTAAGTCTGTGAAGAACGAGCCGCACTCACCACGCCGAAGCTTGCCAGGTCTGGCCGCTGCCTGGCGCTTTCCACCGCCTCCAGTCCAGGCACTCGGGGAGCTAGCTACACAAGGCTCGCCCGTCCGAGCTGGGGTCCTCCCGGGACAGCCAGCTGCGCTGCGCACCCACCGCACGCGCCAGAGTCGGAATGGAAGGCAGAGCAAAAACTTTTCCCGCCACTAGCCGTAACTCCGCCCACAGCCTGATCCCGATTGGCGTTCTCAACCATGTCGCCACGCCTACCCAGGGCTCATGACGTATTTCCGCCATCGCTGATGCCCGCCCTGCGTAGTTCCGGGGAAGTGTTCAGCGTCGCAGTTTCCGCTTCCAAGCGGGTTGCTTTCAGCTGTTAGAAGGGTTTCCCCAGCCTCTGAAGGTCTTTTTTTAAACCTGGATGTGACGTATTGAAGAAGCCGACGGAAATAGAATCGAAAGCGTTCTAAAATGGCGAACCGTACGGTCAAGGATGCCCACAGCATCCATGGCACCAACCCTCAGTATCTGGTGGAGAAGATCATTCGGACTCGAATCTATGAATCAAAGTACTGGAAAGAGGAATGCTTTGGACTTACGGGTGAGTGACAGAGTGCGGCCCGCGTCTCGGCCTTGCGGCTGGCTTCTTCTAATTCAATGAGGAAGGATAGACCCTCGGGTGTTGGTACTGCAAAAGAGTATGTCAACCATTCACATAAATAGCTGTGTGCCTAGACCCGTACCAGACAGGACACAGACAAAGCTGACAGGGACTCTCTTGATGCTGAAGGGTTTCTTTAGGTTCTTTGAGCCGTTCCAGGCTGGCCTCGAACTCAGAGATCTGCCTGCCTCTGCCTCCCGAGTGCTGGGATTAAAGGCGTGCGCCACCACCGCCCCGCATGTGATGGTATTGACAAGACTTTTTTCTGCACGATTTGTTGGATAAAGATCGAAGACTCATGAGCCACACCCTTCCTTGACGGACTACAAATAATTAATGGGGGCTGGGATAAGGGGTATTTCTTTCTTCAATGGGGTAGCCCCAGGCAGTCATTTTTTATTACTATTGTTAAGAAGCACCTGTTCTCCCAGTATTAATTAAATTCTTGTTGACTATTTAGCAGCTCTAAACATCTGTTTCACCTTCCAACCAAGAAAAGCTAAGACCTTTATTATGTCTAAGATGTCACTATTTGTGTTTGATTATTTCAGCTGAACTTGTAGTCGACAAAGCCATGGAGTTAAGGTTTGTGGGTGGTGTCTATGGTGGAAACATAAAGCCAACTCCTTTCCTGTGTTTAACCTTGAAGATGCTTCAAATTCAACCTGAGAAAGATATCATTGTTGAGTTCATAAAAAATGAAGATTTCAAGTGAGTACAATGTTGACTAGTACAAAAATTTTAGTGGTTCAGAATTTGGCTTTGTTAGTAGGACTGAGTGTTATATGTTTAATTTTCACGGGCTTTTGCCCTTGAATTTTGTATTTTGGCTGTTGTGATTATGTAGACCTTCTACTTTATCAGTCTTGGTAACTTCCCCTTCTCCCAAAAGTATTTCACAAATTAAATAAATTCATGCAAATACCTGTACATGTACAGATACACACTATGTCATCAAAATGATATGTTGGTAGGCAGTAGATATGGGAATCATACAACATAGAATTTTAGTTAACAGGTTAAATCTGTATCTTATCCAGACTTTGCTACCTATTGACTGTGAGCCTCTTTAATTTTTTAAGCATAGCAATGCATGGTAACCATAATAAACTGCTCCATATTTATTATCCATTCTCTAGGCGTTCAGAGTCAGGTAAATAGCTAATTATGTACCATGATGTGTTTAAGGGTTCTACATATAGGGATTCTTTTTTTTTTTTTTTTCACTCCACCAATTTAAAAATATGATACCTGTTTTACTTGTGAAGAAACTGAGACTCCCGGAGAGATTGTCAGTAATTTGCCTAAGGTCAGATGAGTATGTGGCAGGTCTGGGCTGAGATAAAGCTTGGTAGTAGAAGAAATGGTAGTAGAAGAAAAGTTTTATCCCCCATTGTGAATTGGGGAGGCAAAGCTGGCTTCAGAGTACACTTTCTTCCTGTGGGTTTTGTTTTGTTTTTTTAATTGAGATAGTGCCTTACTATGTAGTGCTGGCTGGCCTTGTATTTATGGCAGTTCTCTGTCCTCTGCCTCCTGAGTGCTCAGCCTCAGCTACAACTCATGTCAGAGTACATATTCTCTGTGATAGTGCTCTTCTCATAAGATGGATCTTGGATTTCAGATGGAGATTTGAGTAAGGAATTGAATACATGAAAAAGGAAAAAGAAGGAATATTACCAAAAAAGAAAAAAGAAAAAGGCTAGAAAAATAGCTAATTTTGTATGCTCATGTCCTTCTGACACAGTTTTCTTTGCATTTTTTTATGGCACCAAGGCAGTAAATTAGGTTGCAGCTTTCCATTTTAGAGGTTGAGAAAATAAGCTTCATGTCTGCTATCAAAGTTAGTAATATATGAAGTCAGAATTTTAACCTCTATGACTTTGATCTTTTTCCAGAACCTGTTTGTGGCTATGTATGCTTGTTCTAGCATTGTTGTAAAATGTATATAATGCCTTGTGTTAAATTTATTATCTTTCTGGAACCTTAGGCTAATTCTTTTTTTTTTTTTTTTTTTTTTTTTTTTTTTTTAAATTGGGGTTTTTTTGGGGGTTTTGGGGTGGTTTGGCTTAGGCTAATTCTGTGAAGTTTTACAGATAATATATTTGAAAGCTCCCCTAGCCAGTAATCCATAGATGAGAAAGTTCATTAGGTCTCCATATTTTAGCCATCATCTGTTCTATGGTACCTTCAATATTATGACTTTCTTACCTGATAATGAGAAGGAAAACAAACTTTTATCTGCTATTGTCATGAGAAAAGCCAGTTATAACACTCAGGAACTCTTAGGATGGCTTGTTGCGTCAATATCTTTTCTCTGTTAGGTATGTCCGCATGTTGGGGGCACTTTACATGAGGCTGACAGGAACTGCAATTGATTGCTACAAGTACTTGGAACCTTTGTACAATGACTATCGAAAAATCAAGAGCCAGAACCGAAATGGGGGTGAGTATGATACCAAGTCTCTAGACTATAATTCCTGGGCCATTTGTATTTCCCCTGTATCTCTACTCATTTTTATATACATTAAATCTTTCTCTTCATCTGCATGATGGCTGTCTTCACCCAAATTTTCCATCTCCCCCACTGGTTGGCCTTAACCCTTTTGGTACATGGCTGCCTCCCTTTCCAGCGGCATTTTATGCTCAACACTGACTTACATCAGATATATCTTCCATACCTGTTCCATCCACAAGATCTGGAAGCTTAAAAATGGTTTCTCTATAAAACCTGAATTAGCCTGCCCCAAGTAATTTTCCAAATATTACAACTTCACATTTTTTTCCCCCTTGCAGGCCACTTATCTACGACTCTATTCCATGCTATACTTTGTAGACTAAGTGGACCTATATTAATCATGTAGAGATTAACAAGGAGATATCGCTGTATATTTTACACATAACACCTTTGTTTTGTCTTGATTTGAGGGCATGTGGACCAGGCTTCCTTCAACACTGTGTAGCTAAAGATGACCTCAGGCTTTGGATTCTATAGTCTCTGCCTCCTAAATATGAGAATTACAGGTGTGCACCACCATGCCTGTCTTTTCTGGGGGAAGTGGAGGAGCAGCATTGGAGAAACTGAACCTCATGCATGTGAGATAAATACTCTGGCACCAGGCTCCAGGCCTTGCCCTCATAGATACACCCTCTGTGTTAAGGAAGGGTTTGTGGTAATATAATCAGAACCTTTAAATTGGAGAGACGCCTTTCTTTTTCGGAATATAGAAGGTTGAAATTTAGTGTAAGTTGAATATCCCTTATTCAAAAGGGCTTAGAACCAGAGTGCTATAGATTTCAGGGTAGTTTAGATTTTGAAACCGTGTATAAACAAGCTGTCAGATAGCATCTCTATCCAGAAACCTCAAATACTTAAAAATCCAAAGCATAATGAGTAAGTATCATGTCTATGTTAAAAGACTTTCAAATTTGAGGTCATTTCAAATTTAGAATTTTTTTGTCTTAGGCATTCAATCTGTATTGTACTTTAAACTTTTATTAATGTATTTCTTCACTGAACTAATATGTATTGAGATTAATGATAAGCCCGGTGAACAGATGGATATGACTGTAGTCATTTTTGAATTATATTGTGGTAAACTAAGATGGGATATCTCAAAGCATTGACATTTTTGACTGGGTAATTCTTTGCTCTGTGGTAGTGCCATACAATATGTTAAGCAGCATCCCTGTATGCTACCTAGTAGACACAACTAGCCCTTCCTTTAAGTAGGGTGATAGAGGTATGCAAAGTTACTTGTATAAAACTAAGGTAATGTTGTGCTTTTGTGCTATAAAAAATATTTTTAATATTTTCTTTTGTGTATCTGTGTGTTTGTGATTATGACTATGTGTTTGTGATTATGTGTGCTACGGTGCAAGTGTAGAAGTCAGAAGACTAGGAATTGGCCCTCTTTTTCCAGTGTGGGTTCCTGGGATCAAATTCAGATCATCAGGCCTGTGTGGCAAGTGCTTTTACCTGCTAGGCTATCTCACCACAGGTCCCTAAAGGAGAAATATTGTATATTCAGGGACATTATGGCTTAATGTGAGAAATCACAGTTAAGTGATCTATTAGAATTAACTTGAGTTACTTAATCTTGAGTTATCTACTCAGTATTATCCTACATAATTCAAGACTGTGTTTACTTTTATGTTTGTGTCTCCTGATTTTGGTTTTGTTTTGTAGTGTTGATAGGAATTGAACCTAGAACCTCACACATACAAGGCAAATGCTCTGCCACTAAACTATACTATACCTACAGCCCATCTTTTCTTACTTGGACTAGCCTCATTCCTTAGTCCCTTGTTCCTAAAAAGGCTTGGTTGGGCTGACACTTCCTGTCAAGTCTGACTTAAGCCTGGGACCCAAATGATCAAAGGAGAGAACAGGCTCAGTTTTCCTCTGACCTCTGCACATATACTATGGCAAGAGCAAGCACACTTGCGTGTTTATGAATGTGCAATAAATAATTAATAATTAAATAATTTTTTAAAAGAGGTTGGGGATTTAGCTCAGCGGCAAGCTCAAAGCCCCAGGTTCATCCCCATCTCCAAAATAAATAAAGAGGTGTGGCATGTAGGGAACTTCATTTAAAATTTCATGATTCCTTGACTTTTTGGTTAACTAAATCTATCATTTCCAGGTTGCTTGAACTAATACATCTTCTCTTCCAGAGTTTGAATTGATGCATGTAGATGAGTTCATTGATGAACTTCTGCACAGTGAGAGAGTCTGTGATATCATTTTGCCCCGGCTACAGGTATGAGACAAGGGTCTATTATAAGAGTCACCTTTTACCTCCCACACAAATACATACTGAAACACTGAAGTGTTAAGGGTTGTCTTAGTAAGTCCTTATAACAGGCTTTGTACATGATAGGGAATAAGATGTTTCAAGCACAGGGCTTTAGAAGTGAATAGTTAAAGAGTTCTTCAGGATGTATTATCACAAGTTCTGTAGCTGGAGCAACTCGGAATGAGAAAATAAGCCCTCAGTCCCTTAAACTTGTTTATCCTCCTGCCGCATATCCCAAATAATGATTATCTATAAAGCACCCTTCAAGGTTGTGGGCTGTTTGGTGGTGTTTTGTTTCTTGTTTTTTTTTTTGATAGTCTTGACCATATAGCAATAACAGGCCTGGGCCTGACCATATTAACTTGGTTGTCCTCATGCCTCTGTCTTCAAGTTTTTAGGCTTCAATCACCATGCCTGAATAAGATTTCAGTTTTCAGTTTTAAAACTATCATTGAAGAAAAACAAACAAAAAAACTACCATTGCAAAATACAAAGAGAAAAAAAAAGATGGCAGTTAACCTAAAGAGAAATGAAATATGCTGTGGTGGAGAGTTGACTGGATAAGGATTTAACCTAGGTTCCTGTATTATAGAACCTTATCTATAAAATGGGAAATTCCTGTTGAAACGAAAAAGGGGGGAGGGGGAGGGGGCAGCCTGGCTGAAAGCAAACTGTGCCAGGTATGGTGATGGATGCTTTTAGTCCCGGCATTTAGGAAGCAGAGGCAGGCAATTCTCTATGAGTTTTAGGCCAGCCTGATCTACACAGCAAGTTCCAAGCTAGCCAGGTTTACACAGTGAGACAAGAAAGGAAGGAAGGCATCAAGAAATCATTCTGCTCATTATGTAACTGGAGGAAAAGGTGAGTCATGACATTTGTGGCTGTCTCCACTTGTTCCTCCCTTACATCTTTCAAGTAGATATACAGGACAATTTAAAGGGTTGGAAGAGACTTACTATCGTGATTGTAGTGAAAATTTCAAGTGTGTATGTGTTAAAACTTAAATATACAGTGTTCATTGTTATGTCAGAAAAGGCAAGTTGAATAAAATGGTACATGTCTGTAATCCTGAGTACTCCAGAGGCTGAAGCAAGGAGATGCTGAGTTCATGACAGCCAGTGGCTACATAGGAAGCCTTATCTAGACACACACACACACACACACACACACACACACACACACACACACACACACCCACACACACACCCCTTTACTGTGTTCTCTACAGAAACGCTATGTGCTGGAGGAAGCGGAACAGCTGGAGCCTCGAGTTAGTGCTTTGGAAGAAGATATGGATGATGTGGAGTCTAGTGAAGAAGAGGAAGAGGAAGATGAAAAGGTACGGAACATGAAAGCTTTAAGGGCTAGCAAAGAAGGAAAATAGCCATTATTTTTCAAGCTTTAGTTTTAAAATTAATGCTAACCTTTTCAACTACTATTTTTTTTTCTTTTTTGTTTTTCTAGACAGGGTTTCTCTATGTAGCCCTGGCTGTCCTGGAATTCACTATGTAAACCAGACTGGCTTCAAACTCATAGAGGTCCACCTGCCTCTGCCTCCTGACTGCTGGGATTAAAGTTGTGTGCCACTACCACCCAGCCTCTTTAAATCCTTGTGATTACTTTTGGGTCCGTTTGGACAAGGAGGGCCCTATTGTATGGATCATGCTAGATAGACATTTCAGATCTGCCTCAGGGATGCTAGGATCATGGCCATGTGTCTAAAAATGATGGGGGTGGGGTGGCTTGGTCCTGCCTCAACAAGATGATGGGACAGACTTAGTGGACTTCCTAGGGGAGGCTTTACCCTCTCCAAGGAGCAGATGGGATGTGGGGTAGGGAGGAAGTCGGGGGAGCAGGTGGAGCAAAGGTAACTTAGATTGAAATGCAAAAAAAAAAAAACAATAGCAACAAAAAACAAGATGACCTTTAGAGTCAAATATCCTTGGTTTGAATGCCTCAGCTCTGTCATAGCAGTGGTATTATCTTAATAGTCCTGATTTTTCTCCTTTTGTGTGAGGTACTGAATCCACAGTCTCAAAGGATAACAGTACTTTTCTTTGAAGACTGTTGTGTGTTCATGAAGGTCTTAGTACATTTCCACATAATTGGTTAATGAATTGTAGCTATTAAAAAAAAACTTGGAAAAAAGGCATGCCTGAACAAACTCTAAGGAGGGAAGTTACTTGCTGCATAGTCATGTTTTTTTCAGAACTAGTGATTATAGTGCTGAACAGCAAAGAAACAATCAAGCTCTCTAGCTGTCAGTGACTGAGGAGTCAGATATATTGTTAGACTGCTATTAAAACAATGATAATGGGAAAGTACTTATAGTGAAGTAGCTCTAAAGCATTTGAATTAAATTTTAGGAAACATTATATATAGAAAGGGCCAGAAATAAATAAAAGAAATGGTAACCCTGCTGGGCATGGTGGCACACGCCTTTTATTCTAGCTCTCCAGAGAGGCAGAAACAGGTAAAGCCCTGTGAGTTTGAGACCAACCAGAATTTCACACTGAGACCCTATCTCCAAAACTAAAAAGTTAACCTCAAATTAGGTTTTATATTGATGAAACAGTAATCTTATTTTTCCTCAACATATCTATTCCAGTCCTTTGTGGTATTTTATTTTTTTAATTTTCCCTCCGCTTACCTACATTGCCATCTTTGCCACGATTCCAAGTTATAAATGTTCCATCTATTTCCACTTTCTTCTGCTGGCAAATGTGTGCGAGTAGGACACTGCCCCAACTGTATAGCTTCATAGTAAGTCTTGATACTTGGAACAGAAAATGCCTCTTATACTGTACTTCAGCAGCAGTGGTGCTATTTTTGCTCCATTGTTTCTTCTTTGGCTTATTTATATTTCTGTGTATGTGTATGAGTATGTGCACATGAATGCAGGTGTCCTTGGAGACCAGAGGTATTAGATTGTTCTGGAACTGAAGTTACAGGTTATCATGAACCACCTGATGTAGGTGGAATCTGAACCCAGGTCCTCTGCAAGAGCAACAAGAACTCTAAACCACTGGTCCATCGTTCTGATGGAAAAGATATAATCTGCTGGAATTGTGATTAGAGTTACATTGAGGGGCTGGAGAGATAACTCATCTATAAACATGGTATCTAGGCCTCTACAGGTCTTAAAGAAGTTTTATATGTAAATTTCTCCTATTTACCTACATTCAGTCCTAGATTTATTCCTTTTAATTTATACATAAACCCCTTGGTTTTGTTTGTTTTGTTGTTATTGTTGCTAATATAAAAGCCTTTGTTTTCCATTTTTTCTTTCTTTTTTTTTTTTTTTGAGGGGCAGGCTTCACTATATAGACCCTAGGTTCAATTCCTAGTACTACACACACACACACACACACACACACACACACACACACACATAATAACGAAAATTCATGGTTTCCATTTGCAGTTTTGAAAATATAGGAGGGGACTGGAAACACGGCTCAGAAGATGGGAGTACTGACTGTTCTTCCAGAGGTCCTGAGTTCAATTCCCAGCAACCACATGATGGCTCTCAACCATCTGTAATGAGATCTAGATCTGTAGAGTCCTAGATACCATGTTTACAGATGAGTTATCTCTCCAGCCCCTCAATGTAACTCTAATCTCATATTATATATATATGAGCTCAAATAGCCATACTACAGAAACACAGGAACATTAACTTTTGGGTGTGATTGTACAGGTCTGTAAGCTCAGCACCTAGGAGATAAAGACAGACAGGAGTTTGAAGTCTAGCCTGGGCTACATAGGAGGCTGCAGACCACCTTTAGCAAGACCCCTTCTCAGAAAACTAAAACAATAAAATTAGGCACAATCCCAGAACACATACAGTAATTGAATATGCTGCTGAGAGTCTAGTAAGCTCTTTCTCAGACTAAATAGTATTATTTGTCCACTCTAAAATAATCTAAAGTTTTCAGGAAAAAAAAAAATACTAAGAGGCATACAGCTATGTCTGCTGTTGCAACTCTAGTTCCAAGGGATCAGCTAACCACTTCTGGCCTCTGCAAGAACTACACACACACAGTGCACAGATTATACAAGCAAAACAAAACATATATAAACATAAAATAAACTAGAGGAAGTACAAATGTTGACATGGATCCTGGGACAATTCTAATGAAGTATATCAATTCATTTTAGGGTACAAAATGCAAGGCCATCCTCTGGATCGGAAGTCATGCAAGGATGATTACTCTTCTTTGGGAAATGAACCAAATATAGGCTCTTTGTAGTTGTACTTTTTAAGGCAGGGTCTCATGTAACCCAAGCAGGCCTTTAACATGCTGCATATCCTAAAATGACTTCAGCTGATTGGTCTTCCTGCCTCAGTTCTCCCAAGTGCTAGGTGTGAGCCACTGTGTTTGGCTGGCATATTCTCATTTCTTATGTTGTCTTTCTCTTGTGGTCGTGGGCACTGAGCCATACTGTTGGCCTTGTCTCACTTGTAATGTTAGGATCCACTAATGGCCAATACCTAGATGTGTTATAAAATGGTAAGCTATTCTAATTCTTTCATATCTTCATTTTCTTTAAATCTGGAATATTCATAAAAAGAGGAAACTTCCAAATCAGCATATTTTCATAGTAACAGTTTAAAGGCTACAAGTAAGAGATACTGTCTCATGCTCCACAAAAACAGGTGAATTTCTCATGAAGTAAGATAGGCACAGAAAATCATGAGTTGGTTCTGTAGTGTCCTCCTAAAGTGATGCTTTTTTGCTAAGGGTAACATTTTAAACCACCATAGTTTAAGCAAATTTGGTGTGTTAATCCATGTAGATACTTAATCCCTTGGCCAGCAGAGACATCCTATCCAAATACACTTTTGAGATTTTTAGATACCTTCACCGCTTGATAGCTTCCTTGCTTTATTTATGATGATGGCATGTTCTAGCCTCTACACACATCTAGCCTCTTATGTACTTACACTCCAAACATAAAAGTAGGTATTTGTCCAAGTAGGTAATTAATAATCTGGGTGTTGCTACACTTTCCCCTCACTCCCCCCAGACAGGGTCTATGTAGCTCTGGCTGTCCTGGAACTATATAGAACAGAATCCACCTGCTTCAGCCTTTCGACTGCTGAGATTAAAAGCATGTACCACCATGCCCAGCTCCTGCTCCTACACTTTTGTGTAGAGGAAATTAAGATTAAAATCCACTGTGACTTTGCATTTAACATTACTAATCTTATCTATTTTTTTTTTCTTTCATACTGGAAATCCAGCTTAAGGAAATATGCAAACCCCCCCCCCCCGTTTTTCTTTCTTTCAAGATTTATTTATTTATTATGCATACAGTGTTCTGCCGGCATGCCAGAAGAGGGAATCAGATCTCATTATAGATGGCTGTGAGCCCATGTGGTTGCTGGGACTTGAACTCTGGACCTCTGGAAGAGCTGCCAATGCTCTTAACCTCTGAGCCACCTCTCCAGCCCTTTCCCCCATTTTTCAAGACAGAGTTTCTCTGTGTAGGCCTGACTGTCCTAGAACAGTTTTGTAGACCAAGGATTTGAAGGCCACCTTCAAATCCCAGAGATCCACCTGTCTCTGTCTCCCAAATGCTGGGATTAAAAGTGTGTGCCACCACTACCTGTAGGCTGCTGATACTGGTAATTATTTTTGACACTAGGGCTACCTGTCTATGTAGTCAAATCACTGTTGTAAAGTCATTTAAGAGATGTACATTGGGACAGAATAGAGAGGGGACAATAACTATGTTCTTACATGGCTGCCTTTAATAAGAACCAGTACTCATCCATGTTCTTTCAAGCTGGAAAGAGTGCCATCACCTGATCACCGAAGAAGAAGCTACCGAGACTTGGACAAGCCACGACGCTCCCCTGCACTACGCTACAGGAGGAGTCGGAGTCGGTCTCCCAGGAGGTAGGGCTAGAACACTTAGAGCTTAGGACTCTGACTTTAGAAAGGAAAAGGATTAGCCTATAGAGAATGTTTGCCACTGTATCTGTTTCCCTTTTACTACCGAACCTTCACCCATAAAACCTCATTGGCAGAAAAAAAAAATCCATTTCTTTAATTTACTTAATTTGTGGTCAGTGAATTAAGCTGGGCTTGAATATACATACAACTGAGTAACCTTAATAAGGATGGCTAGAGGAGCTTCTCTGTACCTCCCATCCTCCAAGAGGTTAAGTTCGTTATGTTAAAGGTGGTGACAGAATTCAAGAGACAACAGGTCCTTCCTGTAAGTGTTTTTCTCATATCTGTATCATATTTAATATCATCCCACTGGTCAAAATAAATTGCATGGCCAGAGCATTAGGAGTAGAAGTGTACTACATTTTAGACATATACACAAATAAGAATCAGGAGCAACTGTGTTGAATCTCCCGCTCTCCTCCCCTCTTAAAAGGGGTGGGGGTGGATTTTATTTATTTATATTTTGCAATTTGCAATATCCAGTGCACTAACCTGCTCTTCTTCTTGCTACAGGCGAAGTAGATCCCCCAAAAGAAGAAGGTGGGTCCTGAGTTATTTCTGACAAGAGGAGGGTTTCGAGAGGGAAAGTGGTGGTGATCTTTATTGCAAAACGTGTGCTGAGCTCGCTGTTTTTTTCCATAGCCCTTCTCCCCGCCGAGAAAGGCATAGGAGCAAGAGTCCACGACGCCATCGAAGCAGGTCCCGAGACAGAAGACACAGATCCCGCTCTAAATCCCCAGGTATTTGGGTTCTTTCCTGCTTGTCTTAGTAAAGAAATCTGAAAGGAGCATTGAGACTCCTGTAGTACAGAACTCCTAACTGCACTACAACCTAACAGGAAAGACGATGGACATGGAATTCAAAAGTGAGGGTCATTACTCTGAGGGTCATTAGACTCTGGTGATGGGGTTGCAGGGTTTTTTTTTTTATCCAAAATTGAAGAAATAAGGCCTAGTAAAATACTGGTTAAAGCCTGAGACAATGTTTTGTGAAGTTAGCCATAATGTTCTGGATATATGATTTCATTACTGCATTCTCTGTCACAACTAACAATCAAACAGACAGGTTTGATATTAAGTGGTGTCCTCTCATTATAGGCCAGAAGGTAATACAGGAATGAGAGGAATTGGGGGAGGTGAGAATGATAGTCTACAAGTGGGAGAAAAGAAACTCATCCAGTGACCTTTTCTTCCCTAGGTCACCACCGTAGTCACAGACATAGGAGTCACTCAAAGTCTCCTGAAAGGTATGGGTTACACTTCCATTTTAACAATTTAATACTGGGCTGGGAAAGTGCTCATTGGGTAAAGTGCTTCTCATTGCAAGCAAGAGGACTGGAATTCAACCCACAGCACCTATGTTAAAAGCCAGGTGCATCTGAAATCTTAAGTTTATAGTGCTGGAGAGACAAGAAGACCCACTGGGCTTCCTGCCAGCCAGTCTAGCCAGTCATCCAGCTTCAAGTTCAGTGAGAGACCCTATCTCAAAAAATAAAATGGGAGTGAGTTAGGAAGACCATGTTTACCCCTGGCTCCCGTGTGTACATAAATACATACACATTATTCAAAAGTTAAAGTTTCAAATATAACTAAGACAGGGAATTTTGTTTTGATGTGGGTATTGGTAGTTCATTACAAGATAAAATAGGCGCTTTTTTTGCTTTGAGAATTCCTGCCATTCAATTTCTTTTGTACCTTGTTTTCCCTTTTAGAATTAAAGCTTTGAACATTGGGGGATATAAAAGTGGTTCTGGGCCTTTTAAATTTTAATTGTATATGTATATCTGCATACACTTAAGTGCAGATGCCAGTGGAGGCCATAGGTCTGGAATTCTCAGGAACTGTGGTTATTGTGAGCCACCCAATGTGTGTGCTGAGAACAGAACCTAGGTCCTCTGAAACAGTGCCTGCTCTTAACCACTGGTCAGTCTCTCAAGCCCAAGAACCAACTTTTAAAACTTAACAGTTTAAGTTAAACCAACTTTTAAAACATTTTAAATTGATCTTCATTAGAACCCTGTGAGCCATGTACCCCATTAGGAACATTCTTATGAAGCAGTTCTTTAATGGAAAATTCTAGATAATAATGTTTGACTCAAAGTGCTGTTCAGAACCATAAAAACAAACTAAAAACTCCTGATAAGTTCTCAATGGCTGAAGTGCTGGTTACGTAAAGAGGTCCAAATCCTCAGAAACCTCTTAAAAAGCCAGGCAGGTGATTATTGCCCTTCTCAGCACTCTGGACAGGAGCCTCAACAAGTTGTTTCACTTTGAGCTCTAGTTTCAGTTGAGAGATCTCTTTGCTTTTTGTTACAGGGATAAACAGCATGACCCAAAGCAACAGGATTGAGGGAAGTCAGGGTAGGAACTCAAGCAGAAATTATGAATGGAGAAAAATTGCTACGTCCTTGCTCTCTGGTCAGCTTTTTACACAGCTAGAGCCAACTACCTTGTGATGGTGCAGCCCTCAGTGAGCTGGGCCCTCCTACATCATTCAGACATTGCCAAAAGCTAGTCTAAACTAGACAGATCCTCGATTGAAATTTCCTTTTTCCCAGGTGACTGGTTGTGTCAAGTTGACACTAAAAACTAACCAACACATCCTGTCCCAAAAGAGCACTCAAGGAGGACACAGGGTCAGAGTTTTCCAGCTTTTGCATGCACATATGCACTCAAGTGCATATGTACATATTAGCAGGCATACAAGACACACACAATACAAATAAAATTGTGCTGGGTGTGGCAACAGACCTGTAATCCCAGCATTGAGGAGGCAAAGGTGGGAGACTGTCAAGAAAACATCAAAGTGCATCTAATGTTTATGTCATCTCGATTCATCAGTGTCAGCCTACTATGATTGTCTTCCATATTTGCTCCTTAATTTAATGATTTATATCCCATTTCAGGTCTAAGAAAAGCCACAAGAAGAGCCGGAGAGGAAATGAGTAATGGATTGATTTATATTTTAGTCCAGATGGCCTCCTGTAAATATGAGAATATCTGTCTAAGTGAAATGATCAAGATCTCTTTAGGCAGCTATGAGTATTTGGGGGTTTTAAAAAATCAAGTTATTGTTTGGTTGGTTTTTTTTGTTGTTGTTGTTTATTTTAATATTACAGAGGTGCTAAATTTTGTATCTCTTTGAATTATAATCAACATCTTTGAAGGGTGTTTTTGACCAAGTCAAGGTCAGGTTTTGACCTAACCAACTATGGTTATGTATACTTAACAAGGGCCAAGAGGACCTGGGAGTTGGGGAGATCCATGAGAATGAAGAGATGTAGCCACATGATGATACTTTTATTTGTAATTAAACCTGACACAGTTGTCATTTTTCTCTAGTTTCTGGTCTGGTTTCTCTATGAAAACCTGAGAATCCTGTGATTTATGCTGCTGGGACCCAGCTAGTAGTAATTCCTAACTTCTCCCTAACTACAGACAGCAGTAGTACAATAAACATACAAAGTTACTGGTTAACAGAATACATTCAAACATAAAGCTTTTTCTGGATTTTTTTTAATTCGATTTCATTAAACAATTCAACATGATTGCACTTAACATCCTTAATACAAGCCAAGTACAGTGGTTCACACCTGTAATCTCAACACAGGCCAAAGCAGAATACTGTTTGTAGTTTTGACTGAACTAAGTTGCTAGATAACATTAGAGACTGCTTTTAGAGGATAGTATGGGAGTAAGAAGGCTGTGGTGGTAATGAAAATGACACATTCAGTTTAGCAAGTTTAAGACGGCTATGGTATTTCTACATGGGTAGAAATAGGAACTAGTAGGATTCAACATAGTGATCTAATCCAGAATTGACAATTGTTAAAGATGTTTAGATGCCCAGGGAGTATAAATAGATTTAAGAGAAAACAGCAGCACCACAGGCAATGCCAACACTTGTGACTAGTAATACAGGTCACCTAGTAAACGCTGGAATGAGCCATTCATGAAGGTAAAGAATCAGTAGGTCAAGAACACTGAAGGGTCTGAAGCTATATAAGCAAAATAAAACTTTACTAAGTTCAGTGTCAGTGTTGCTGGAGAATATTACTATCTTAGCTAAAACAGTTCCTTTTGCCTGTACTTACCTTTCCTCCTTTAAGAGGGTAGAAATGATTGACTTCTTGTAATTCTAATCCTAGGAAGAATTGTAAAGAATTGTAACTGCCTTGTAGGAACCAGCTTCTCAGGAAGTCATATCTGGTCGTAGGATAAACATTTTTATTGTTTGCTGTTGACTGGGGGACTTTTCTAGCAATATTAAAGCAGTTTTTTTTTTTATCAATTTGTGCTTTTATATTCTTTAATGAATTCTCTAACCATGATACCTAAATCAATAAAGTTGTAAGATGAAACCTATTATAGCTTATTGATACAACTATCTATTGTAACTTTTAAAATTAAATACAAGTATCTCCATTTGGGTTTGGTAGAGATTCCTAAAAGTTATTTCTTAGTGAGGTGATTTACGTGGCTACATAATCAAATGGCCAACCAAGTACCATCCACTAAAAAAAAGAATTTAAAATTAAAGTAGATTTAAGTAATAATAAACCTACAACAAAAAGCTCCAACAATATTTTAAGAGGAACCTTTACAAATTTTAAAGTATGCATTAGATGTAGTGGAATCTGGATCAATGGGCAGCAAGAAGCATAATATTTCTACTTAATTAGAACAAAGGAGATAAGGGTGAGTTGAGTAGGACATGTTGACCATTTTAACAAACTACAGAATTACAGAGATGACTTTTTTTCTTGGTTTTTTGAGACAGGGTTTCTCTGTAGCTTTGGAGCCTGTCCTGGAACTCGCTCTGTAAATCAGGCTGCCTTGAGCTCACAGAGATCCGCCTGCCTCTGGCTCCCAAGTACTGGGATTAAGGGCGTGTGCCACCACTGCTGGCTCAGACATGTTATTTTAAGGACAAATTTCTGTCATCTGTTTCACCTATTATTACAAGATGACTTTGAATGGTAGTGTTAAAACTCTTAGGTTACAACATACTCTTAGAAGTATGCTTTACATCTCAACTGTACACATGCATATATTCTTTGTGCTGAAGCAGACCTTAAGAAAAAGTTATGCAGGCCATGTGGTGGTAGCACACACAGTGAATCCCAGGACTCCAGCCTGGTCTACAGAGCGAGTTCCAAGAAAGCCAGAGCTACACAGAGAAACCCTGTCTGGGAAAACCAAAAACCAACCAACCAAACAAAAAACAAAATTATACAAAATGCATTCATATTACTTTTATTATTAGGATTTCAAAAAAATTTGTATGTGTATGTCTCTTAATGTAGATGCACTTACTATATGTCCAAGTGGCAATAGGCCAGAAAAAGGTGTTGGATTGCTTGAAACTGGTAGTTACAGACATTTGTGAGTAACCTGAGTTGGTTGCTGGCATCCAAACTCCACTCATGACTGAACAGCAGATGCTTTTAACCATGGAGCCATTGTTCCAGTCCCTGTAGTTAATATTTTTACATCACTAATTGGATTTCACTTTCTACAATTTGAAATCCAGTTCTTTAAAAGCTTACTTTGGACACCATGACCTTAACATTAAGGAAGATGTGTTTTCAGAGGGAAAAGAAGTTGCAGACTTGGTTAGTGGGTTGTAGTAAAACCCAATCTAACCTCATCAACCCCTTTCTGTTACTCTTCAGTAGTGTAACATGAGTTTAAACATCAGAAAATAGCACCAAGCCTAATGACCTGAATCCACTTCTTGGATCTTCACATGCATCACACATCTACATATAGAATAGTAAAAATGAAAACAAAAAAGGTTTGTTCATTTTTTTATATTAAGCATATTGACTTCAGAGAAACATGAAGCTAAGAAAATGAAAGTTGCCTCTTCAGTGTTTTACATAACTGTTCTTAGTCTTGTGAGCAATCTTGAAATTATGCTTTCTTGTGTGGAAAAACAATTGTCATTTCAATTTCCTAGTCTTCTAAGTCTGGTAAAATTAATTTCCTATACTTAAGTGCCCAGGAGACCGACAGCAGTTCTGTAACTTGCTGTATTTGTAAAGTAACAGACACTTTTATAAAGTATTCTGCATATATACTTATGATAATTCACTGGAATGATTCAAGTTCACCAGATAATAGAATTCTTACTTGATGGATTTTACTGTTTTACATATTGTGTATGCACACACAAGTAATATGTGAAATAAAAGTGACATCCTGTTTTCTTCATCAAGAAATGCATGCACTTTGGTTGCTTAGCCATAGCCATCTTGCTAGCCCTAAACTTTAACACCCTTTCTTTCAATAAACACATCACATTATCATTTATAAGGAAAGTGGGGAGTTTAAAGTTTTATCTGGGAACCATTTTTGTTGTTATTGGGTTTTTTTTTTTTTTTTGGAGACAGGGTTTCTCTTTGTAGCTTTGGAGCCTATCCTGGCCCTCGATGTGTAGATCAGGGTGGCCTTGAACTCACAAAAATCTGCCTGCCTCTGCCTCCCAAGTACTAGGATTAAAGGCGTGCACCACCAACACCTTTATCTGGGAACCATTTTTATGGAAGGCAATTAGGCAGAAACTTTAGAACTTTGGGCCTGGAGCAATGGCTGAGTGAAGAGTGAATACTGTTCTTGCAGAAGCTCTGAGTTCAGTTCCTAGCATCTACTTCAAGTGGCTCACAACCACCTGTAACTCCAACTACAGGGGAGTGGACACCCTCTTTTAGACTCAGGACACCTGTGCTCCCGAAATATAGGCACAATTAAAAATTTTAAAAGCTTTCATCCTTTCTCTCAAGTCCCACTCACCCTAGCAGAGTAAATCTACGAGCAAACATTATTTTGCCATCAGTATGCATGCATTTTTTTTTATTTACAGGAGAAAATTTACAGACAGTAAAATTGTCTATGTGAGGAGGACTAAACAAATTACACATTTTATTGTTTTTTTTTCTTCTTATTTAGTGTTTGGAGACAGGGCCTCACTATGTAGCATTGGTTGGCCTGGAATTGAGTAGGTATATAGGCCAGAATGGCTGTGAAATAGATCTACCAGCCTGTGCCTCCCAAGTACTGGGATTAAAGGTATGTGCCACCACTTGCAGCTATTAGTGTGATTTAATGGGCCAAGGTAAAACCATCTCCATGTCAAATGGCACAAAAATTGTATCACAAAATAATTATGATTTTAAGTGTGTATGTGTTCTCTAGGACTGATCATTTTTTGAACTGTTAACTGTTTTCAAACTACTAAACTATTACGCAAAATCTATTCCTCAGCTTAGAACACAGTTTTACAAACTCTGAAAGAAGGGTAGATATGTTCAAAATCAGTGAATAGAACACTGTCATAGAAGTAAAACCTGGGTTAAGAAGCTGCCTTCAGACAGGGGAGAGGGGAGGGCTGAGCTCCCAGCATATTGCCATGTTGGAGTTTTTAAGAGTTTGGTTTTTGTTTGTTTTTTTTCAGTGAAAACCTCAATTTTACATAAAAGCAGAAAGAACAGTGAAAAGAATGTCATTATCTTAATCTCCAGGTGAAATACTTGAATGCTTAAAAATTGAATTGTCTATTTGCTTTTAGACAGTCTTTTTGTAGCTGTTCTGGAACTCTACGTAGTTGAGGATGGCCTTGAATTTCTTGCTGATTGAGACAAACTCTCACTATGTAACTTTGACTATCCTGAAACTTGATGTATAGATCAGGCTGCCTTCAAACTCAAGATCTGCCTGCCTCCGCCTCCCAAGCACTAGAATTAAAGTTGTATACCGTCATGCTTGACAGACCTTGAATTTAATTTCTTGATCCTACTGCCTCCACCTCCAGAATGCTAGGATTTCAGGATGCTCCACATTTTTTAACTGAAAAGACAGGAGGATGCCAGGCGGAGGTAGCAATCGCCTTTAGTCCCAGCACTTGGGAGGCAAAAGCAGGTGGATCTCTGTGAGTTCGAAACCAGCCTGATCTAAAAGAGCTACTTCCAGGACAGCCTCCAAAGCCACAGAGGAAACCCTGTCTCAAAGAGAAAAAAAAAAAAAAAAAAGTACAGGAGGATCAAGTATATTATTAATAAAACAAAAGAGCTGACTCAAACAAGATT